GAGTCTGGGGGTGAGTCGCCTGAGGGTTCTGAGACTGCTGTTACGCGGTCTCCTTGGAGTAGCCGTCTTCGTCCGCGTGTGCCCCTCACCTCCCAGCAGCTGCACGACTGGTACGGTCGCCGTCAGCGTCCCACTTCTGCACCTCAGGGCTCTCCTGCTGGAGGTTCTTCTGCTGGTGTCGCTGGTCCCGGAGGTGCTCGTACTGGGAGTACTGGAGCTGCTGGGGCTAGTGGTGGTGCTGCTGGAGGTACTGGAGCTACTGGCGGTGCTGGAGCTGCTGAGGGTACTGGAGCTGCTGGAGGTGCTGGAGGTGCTGGAGCTGCTGGAGGTGCTGGAGCTGCTGGGGGTGCTGGAGCTGCTGGAGGTGCTGGAGCTGCTGGAGGTGCTGGAGCTGCTGGGGGTGCTGGAGCTGCTGGAGGTGCTAGAGCTGCTGGAGGGGCTGGTGGTGCTCGTGCTGGTGGCACTGCTCAACCGCGCCTGTTCTTTGCTCCGCCGTCTCCGTCGTCTCAGCCACCACCCGACTCTGCACTTCGCCAGTTTCTCAGTCTTCCCTCGTCTACTGGTCTTCCGTTACAGCCTGGCTCACCGCTGCCTGCTCCTTCTCCGTACACAGAGCAGCCTGGTGGCCTTGCAGAGCGTCGTGAGCCTGCGTCGCGTCCTGTCTCCCCTGTCAGTTCCGGTCGTCGTGTTCCTCGTCAGAGCCAGCCGGCTGTCTCCGGCCCTCCCCTTGTAGTTCGTCGTCATTTCTCTCCTTCACCGCGTGTTCCTCTGCCGCCTCCCCCTGCGTCCTTTCTGCCTGTCGTTGCTGACCCTGCGTCTGACCGGTTTCGTGCTGAGCACTCTACTGTCACGCGTCTGCTTGCCACTGTTGTCACTGACCCGTCGTTTGAGTCTGCTGCTGCGTCTGCCTTAGTCACTGAGCTTGTTGCCTTTGCTGCTCACTGCCGTCTAGACTACGCCGCCAGTCTTGTTGCTGAGTCTGCGTCTGTCTGTCCTCCGTCCGTCGGGGGTGAGTGTACTCTTGGCACGGACGTCCTTGAGGACATGCAGGAGGACCTTGAGTGTCTTGCAGCCGCTGCGCCTCATCTCGTATCCATGCTGCTTGCCCCTAAGGGAGACCCGGATGCACCAGACATCCCTACCCCGCGCTCTTACGCTGAGGCAATCGCGGGTGAGTACTCCTCTCAGTGGCAGACAGCCATGGATGCAGAGATGGCATCCTAGAAGTCCACAGGCACCTACGTCGACGAGGTTCCCCCTCCTGGGGCGAACATTGTCAGTGGCATGTGGATTTTCAGGGTGAAGCGGCCCCCAGGTTCTCCGCCTGTCTTCAAGGCTCGTTACGTGGCTCGAGGCTTCAGTCAGCGAGAGGGAGTTGACTTCTTCTAGACCTTCTCCCCCACCCCGAAGATGACCACTCTTCGGGTGCTGCTGCAAGTTGCCGCTCAGCGTGACTACGAGCTTCACTCTCTTGACTTCAGCACAGCCTTCTTACAGGGCAGCCTGCACGAGGAGATTTGGTTGCGCCGCCCTCCTGGCTTCACTGGGTCGTTCCCTCCTGGTACCCAGTGGAGCCTCCGGCGGCCGGTCTACGGTCTCCGCCAGGCGCCACGTGAGTGGCACGACACACTGAGGACGACACTTGCGGCTCTTGGGTTTGCTCCGTTGACTGCTGACCCGTCGCTGTTTTTGCGCACCGACACTTCGCTACCGCCGTTCTACGTTCTCGTGTACGTCGACGACTTGGTCTTTGCCACTGCTGACACTGAGGCTCTCGCCCTGGTGAAGTCGGAGCTGCAGAAGAGACACACGTGCACAGACCTGGGTGAACTGCGCAGCTACCTTGGCTTGCAGATCACCCGGGACAGAGCACGCCACACCATCACACTGACTCAGTCACACATGGTGCAGTAGGTCCTTCAGCGCTTCGGTTTCACCTGGTCCTCAGCACAGGCCACTCCTCTGGCTACAGGTGACTCGCTCTCAGCTCCACCTTGCGGACGAGTCCGTAGAGCCGAGTGGTCCTTACCCAGAGTTAGTGGGCTGCCTCATGTACCTGATGACTTGCACTCGTCCTGACCTTGCGTACCCTCTTGGCCTTCTGGCTCGCTACGTGGCTCCTGGTCGGCACCGAAAGGTGCACATGGATGCTGCCAAGAGGGTATTACGCTACTTGTGCAGTACATCGGGCATGGGGCTCGTGCTTGGAGGACGGGGTGACGTTGTCCTCACAGGTCACTCGGACGCCTCTTGGGTTGACGACCAGGCTACGCAGCGGTCGTCACAGGGTTACACCTTCAGCCTTGGTTCTGGTTCATTTTCCTGGCGTTCTACACGTTCGTCTTCAGTTCTCGGCTCCAGCTGTGAGGCAGAGATCTACGCCACAGCCATGGCTGCATAGGAGCTGCGCTGGCTCACCTACCTGCTGACCGACTTGGGAGAGCAGCCTCGTTCGCCTCCAGTTCTGTACGTCGACAACAAGGCCGCCATTGCCTTGTGTCAGGAGCACAGACTGGAGCACATAACAAAGCACATCGCTCTCCGTTACTTTCTTGCTCGAGAGCTGCAGCAGCGTGGCCAGCTTCGTCTTACTTACGTGGCCACTCGGGCCAACACTGCTGATATATTCACCAAGGTGCTTCCGCCTGGTGATCATCAGCGTTTCTGCACTTTGTTAGGCCTTGTGCCCACTCTTCCTCACTTGCTGTAGGCTTTGTTTGTACCATGATTTATATGTATTCATGCATGCTTGTTCTTGTAGGTAGATATCACTGTACTGTTGTTGTTACATATATATTTCTGCATGTGAACTGGCCTTGTGGCCTTCTTGCTTGTGCTCAGACTGCGTGGTGACGTTGTGATCCACCCTGAGCTTGCTTTGCACTTCCTGACTGGTCTTGTGACCCTCTGTTCCCCCCACTTTGCCTATGGGGGTGTGTCAAACATATGTATATATATGTTATAGTTTGGGTAGGCTTAGTGGGGTACTCACTGTGGGGTACAACCCCTTAGGTTTCTCCTTTGTACCAACTCTCTCGACACTCGACACAACCTTTGCCTAGGATTCTAACACAAGGGAGCGCAAGTGTGTGGCTAGGTCAGAGACAGTCGCAAACGAGCCGAGGTCGGGAAACACGAACGGCATGAGGATGCGGCTGAGGGAGGCAGAGGAAGGGGTGGAAAAGCGTGCAGAAATAGCATAATAACTTCCTTCGCAGTCTCTACCAGGTCGAAGTGAGCGGCCTCAGTCGGTGGAAGGAGCTCGGTCAGCGCGAATGCAGCCGCAGCGTCACGGGAGTCCCAAACGTTCCGCGCCAAGATGAGACGAGCGTAGTCCGCCTGCACCTCCGGAGTCGGGGGGGGCACGGCAGGGAGGGGCTCAGGACGCGGTGGTGCCTGGAGGGCGCCGGACGCGTGTGCGTACAGGGTGGCGCCCTCCTGGCGCTGACTGGTGAGATAGCGCTGAGTCTGGCGGAGCTAGGTGCCGAAATCTATCGGGCGCCCCTTTGCATCGAAACGAAGGCGGTGGGAGGAGTCCATATTGGACGCTAGGCTAGGAGCAGCTGGAGCACGGAGCAAACGGAGCTAGGAGCGAGGAGCGCCAGGTGGAACTAGGCGAGGTACTGCCGGAGCACGGAGGAAAACTGAGCTAGGAACGCCAGTCTAGTAATGAACGGAGCTGGGAGCTAGCTGAGCTAGGAGCAGACGGCTGGAGGAGGCAGGGCTGACGAGCCGATCGAGGAGCCGGAGAGTCGTTCGAGGGGCTGGCGGAGCGAGGAGAGACCTAGCTAGCAACGAACGTCAGGACTAGCCTAAACAGCTAAGTGGAGCGGCCTCCAGCTGCGACGGTGCGAAACACAGTGAGTATGAGTGACGCGAGTGTCGAACCAACGGAGGTCGGGTGGTCCTGGGTGGTGTGCGCACATGAAATTACCTACTCTAATACCATCTTAAAATAGGCTAGGAACAAGTGTCGAGAGAATTGTGTGAGTCAGTGGGAACAATGAGATACCAGTGTCGACCTAGAGAATGTTGTACCCTTTAGAGGGCAACTCACTATAGCCTAGAATAGCTAACATCTACCGTAGAACATATAAACATTTGACAGAAGCCTTGGCACTGCTCGTGCTAGATGGTAGGGATAGTGCGTACCTATGCTCTTTATGCTTGTGCCTGTTGATCGATTTTTAGAATAAGTTATGCTACTTAAAGTCAGCAGCTAAAATAGTGCTAAAATACTTTGTGCCAATCACACAAGTTCACTCTGCCCATACGATTCGTTTGAAACAGTGTTTGTCAGACTGGTTTCATAACACATTTTTCAAGAGGGACGGGGTTCACTATTTTAGCTGCTGGCTTTAGTATACAATCTAGTTTTAAAACAATTCAGTTTTTGATCCTGATGTCTGCAGTACCTTGGGTTCATTTTAATTGCTTCTACACCTTCGCCTGATTGATATCTTTCCCTATCATGCGAAGGTGGATGAGAGGTTATATGCGAGGTTTCCTGCATTGCGAGCAACTCACAGGGCAAATCACAACACTACTGACCAGGCCAACCTTGTAATAAGCATATCACACCAGTCCCCCGCCTGCTCATCATCACTTCTTCGCCACCTCAAATCAGAGACGCGAAAGAAAACGGAAAATCGGTGTGTGCGTCTGCTCATCACTTCTTCCCCGCCACGCACCACGTTTGCTACGAGATGGTAGCAGCAGCAGGACAAGGAGGCGTCCGTAGCAGAACTATTAAAAGTGTGTTTCGGTTCCTAGTACGGTACTAATACTTGTGCTCCTCTCACTGATCGGAAATAAATCGCCTGATTGAAGGTCTTGAAGTCGCGAGCATTCGTGCTGCAAGGTCGCCCGTTGCAACCCGGCAAAGCAACGACGCCGCGATTCGTAAAGCTATAACGCCTCGCAAGATCGCGGAGTCGGGTTGGTTGTAGCGCGAGCGCTAGCAACGGGGATGGCGGGATAGTAGTGTTGGCCAAAACGTGTCAGCACCAGATTGCAGAGTGGGGTTGGTAGTTGTTGAAGCGACTCCTGCTCCTGTTTAGCGGAACGAAATTGCACGGCAATTCGCAGTAAGAAGGGCGATATAGCAGTGGCGAGGATACCGGAACGAACGACACTCAGGAGGGGCTTGTTCTCCTTCGACATTGAATGTACACAATCTTATGGTCAGGGTTGAGCCTTGGTTGTGTTCTAACCACAAATACGCGGCACTCGACATTACAGCTTACATGTTCGACGATTCGTACTCCAGAGAGTCACGCTCGCTCTCAAACGGTCCGCAATTTCCGCCGCACTTGTCGCCGTCAGCGGGCGACGCGGTGAAGACCAGGGCGAGAATCAGAAGCGCCGGGGCGATGGGCGTGATGAGCGCAAGCACGAGGAGAGCGAGCGGAAGATGGCGCAATGAGAAGCGCGTGCATATCGATATCGCCATCAATTTGGCGATGCAAGTGGTAGCAGCTGTGGTACGTCGTTTGACTCGTTCTTTTGAGACGTAAATGCTGCTGGGAAATTTCGAAAGGGGAGGGAAGGTTTAGCTCTATTACTAGGAAATCTGAGCCGTATTGTGGAAAGGTAATTTGCGTATACCGGGAAAAATGTTACGCATCGGATGACTTACGGCATAATTTGTTTCATACAGTTGATAAGGCTAACGAGGGCTCAAATTTTCAAATGAAAGCTATGAGCAGGAGCACGAGAAGAGAGGAGGGGCTGCGCAGGAGCAAGACCTTACGCGTTCGGGAACAGAAAGGAATCAAAGCACCAACGAGGCTCACACTGAAAACAGCAAAATATAGCTTGTGATGTTGTCCAGGAATGTGCGCAGCTATGGGAAAGCGAGTCTGGTGTGCGTGCTCCCTGCATTGCATGATCAGCGCAGTCATTTTGTGAGCAAATCTGGATGAGATATCGTGGGAGAGAGAAGCGAAAGAGAATTCCAATGTCCCACGCGCCATTTGAAATTCGAGAAATTTTTGTGCCGATACGGCATCCTGGGGAATGCCGTCTCGAACCGCACTGCGTCCTTATTGGTCATGCTAGTTGCGGCGATGTGGGAAGATTTCTTCACCATCTTCCCGCCCCCGAATTGGTGTCCTTCCTGGCAGTTGCTTTCATTTTGTTTCGCGTTAGAACAGGCCTCATTTGCAAAGCCCAAATAAATGAGACATACAATCCTATAAAATATTGTTACCATTTTTCTCACATTCATTAACCTTTGAATTCCAAACTCTAGTTTATTCAGGGTTGTTTAGTGTAAGAAAATTTCCTTTTCCTTAATTCGCGTCCCTGCTCAGCGCGTACAACACTGTTTCCCGCCAACAGCACCCAACAATAATCCGTTACCACTCGCGACATTTGTTGGGCTGAAAAGGCCCTTAGGATCTTTACAGGACAGATTTCAAGAGTAGGATGATGTAGTAGCGGAAGCGTTTAATGAAGGATTGTGAACCACCTTGCGCTGGTATATGAGGGCAAAGTAAGTTGATAATAACAAAAGGATACAAGCTTTTATATGATTACAAGGAATATGAAAGAGTTCTATTTTAACTGTTTTTGCTGTTGCGGTTCGATACAGTGCCGACTCGGGTAACTGCTCTGTAACGAGTCAGTTATATGTCCTTGCTGTCGCACTGTATATTTCGTCAGGTCAAAGGTCGGGGACCTTTGACCTTCGCGTAACCTCCGACAGTTGACTCGCGTGACACTTCGCTGTAGTTAGTTCCGTTTTGTGTCTCAGCTTCGATACGACAGAGGCGCTATAAATCACTTGTTTCCAACACTCCCCTTCGCTTCTGGAGTGTCGCTGCAGGTGACGTGGCTCTGTCCAGTCAGCAGCATGCAATATTCGAACTTCGGCTTTCCGAGCTTCTTGGTCAAGTAATCAGCTGCCATCTCGGATGTGGGGCAGTAAGACAGTTCAAGTCTTCCCTTCTCGATCTCGTCTTTTACGAAGAAATAGCGCAGGGCGATATGTTTCGTCCTGTTCGCGAATCCATTTTTGTTGGCGATGCGAATTGCCGACTGGTTGTCGCAAAATAGGGAGAAGCTGGGTAACTGGGCCAGCTTCGCTTCCTCCAGAAGTTCGCGAAGGTACAGTCCTTCCTTGGTGGCTGAGCAGAGTGCGATATATTCAGCTTCAGCTGAGGAGAGGGCGATTAATTCCTGTTTGCTCGACTGCCACGAAATAGGTCCGATAGGCTCGAGACGGTAGATGTAGCCTGTGCGCGAGCGCCTGTTGTCAGAATCTCCGGCATGGTCGGCGTCGACGTAGCCGATTAGCTTGGGCGTTGTAGTTATGTTTTTGTAGTAGATCAGGCCGATCGTCGGAGTGCTTACGAGGTAGTGTAGAGCGCGATCGAGCTCCTTCATGTGTTCGTCTTCAGGCCTTTTGAGGTAGGTGGCGAGTTGACTTGCTGAATATGATAGGTCTGGACGGCAGGTGACGGCCGCGAAGAGAAGGCATCCCAGCTTTCACTGGTAGTTGCGTATGCCGGCGGGTTTCAGTGGAGCAGATTCTGTCTTGTCATTTCCTGCCGTGTAGCGGTATGGCGTAGAGATGGTAGTTGGCGTGAGTGCGAACCGTTTAGCGATGGTGTCGGCATATTTTGCGGCGTTGAGATAGATCGTGCCTTCTTCTTCTTGGATGTTGAGACCCAGGTATTGCGTGACGGTAGATGATACCGTGAGGGTGAGGTCCTTTTGTAGCTCCCCTTCGAACCAGGTAGTAACGTTGTCGGTCGACCCGATGTAAAGCAGATCGTCTACGTAGACGATTAGTAGAATGTCGTCGTCGCCTTTCGTGAGCCGGTACATTCCTTGGTCGTGCGGTAGCTGCCGGAATCCGATGCGAGTGAGTCGGGCGTGTAAGTACTGCTGCCACAGTCTCGGGGCCTGTTTGATCCCGTACAAGGACTTCAGTAGCTGGCAGACTTGGTTAGGTTCTCCATGGGAACCGTGTGGAAGTTCGACGAAGATTTCTGCGTTGACAGGTGCGTAGAGAAAAGCATTGGCAACGTCGATTTGCCGCAGCTTCTTTTTCTTCATAGCGGCGATCGCGAGAAGAATCCGTAGTGAGGTGTGTCGACTAACCGGTGCGAATGTCTCGGTGAAATCGCGTCCGTGCTCTTGGTCGAAGCCACGTACGACCCAGCGTGCCTTGAACTTGTCGATGGTGCCATCTGCTTTCGTCTTCACACGGAAGACCCACTTCCCGGTGAGTATTGTCTTGTTGCGTGCCACGCTGATAGGAACAACTTTCCAGGTGTTGCGCTCCTGTAGTGCTTTCAGTTCCTTGTCCATGCCTTCACGCCATTTTTCCTTATACTCCCCCCCCAGAGCCTGCTGAACTGTGGCAGGCTCCTTAGGAGTATCCGTGCCGTGGACCGCGGTGACGAGACCAAGTATCTGAAGGCCACTCTGTGTGTAGCGGGGGAGTGTTGTGTCCGCGGGATAAGCTGCTTCGTCACTTGCTTCTGGGTCAGGTATGAAATTGGGCCCTATGCGTTCTGCTTCGTTGGTGTTGACTTCTGCAGGTGTAACGTAACCAATGTCGGCGAGGTCGAAATAAGTTTCGGCGTTGACGCTTTCGCGAGGATTTTCGTCATCCATGGGGATAGGAACGGAGCAGTATGGGAGTGGTCCTGCTTCGTCTGAGGCGTTATCCACATTCTGCTCGTCCCAGTCAGCTTCGTCTGCTGCCGAGGCGAAGTGTCGGTCACCATGGAAGCCACCTGTGGGATCCCGATTTTCTTCCAGGTTGGCAAGATATGTCGGAAGGGTGAGTCGTTCGTAGAAAAGGACGTCACGTGCTGCTACTGTTTCCTTGGAGTGGACGTCGAAAATCTTCCATGCGTTGTAATTTCTTTCGATGCCCAGGTGTAGTCCCCACTGTGCTCGTTGGGAAAATCGGCCGGCTCGTGCAGATTGTTAAGATAGTAGGCAGAATGAGGAGCCATGGCTAGGGTTTAGCTAGCCAGGCAAGAGAGAATAATTAAAAGAAGAGGGTTGGACTAGCAAGCAGGAGGATACATATAGGAAACCCTAGATTGGGCTGTACTCACTATTGAGTACCCCACTGCAGGCTAGACAAATATAACATATTCTGACACACCCCCATAGCCAAAGTGGGGTGTAATCAGCACAAGAAGCAAAGCAAAAACAAGCTCAGGGTGGATCACAATGTCACCACACATTCTGAGCACAAGTACAAGAAGTAACAGTTTAAAGTTCACAAATGTAAGCAAAGCTAGAGGCTAACACAGAGGGCAAGTGTGGAGGAGGAGGGACTATGAGAGGAGAGGAGGTAGTGGGCGGCAGCTGAAGCTGCTGGCACACGGCGCAACTGGAGCAACTGGCACACGGGCAACTGAAGCAACTGGCACACTGGCAACTGGAGCAACTGGCACACGGGCTACTGGAGTAACTGGCTCCGCGGCTAACTCTGAGCGGCAGGAGCAACGGACTCACGGGCGACTGGAGCAACTGGCTCACGGGCGACTGGCGCAACGGGCTCACGGGCGACTGGCGCAACGGTCTCACGGGCGACTGGAGCTGCGGGCTTCACGGCGGCCACCCCCCTTCAACCTCTCCAAACTATCCCACCCCCCTTTCACACACCCCCTGCTGCACCCCTAGGTTCACTCACACACGCCTCCCCCTTAGTACCACTCCGACAGCTCCCACACACCCACACCCCTAGCACCACTCCGTCAGCTCCCACACACCCACCCCCCTCAGCGGCAGCTGTAGCAGTGGGAGATGGAGTAGGAGGAGGAGCAGGGGATGCCACACACCCGCCACCCCCTACTCGCCACCCCCAAACCCTAACATAGGGCAGGGCAGGATGGCGGTTAGGGAGGTTACGGGGGGGGGGCAGGGCGACGACGAAGACGGGAGGGGCCGACTCGCGGCCCCCCAGGGCGCCACAACAGGCGGCAGAAGGGGCGACGCACGGGCCCCCCCCAGGTCGCGCGGCCCCCCAGGGCGTCGCGACGGGCGACGGGAAAAGGGGCCTGGGCGGGGCCGCGACGGGGCCGCGACGAGGCCGCGACAGGCGTCGGGGCAGGGCCGGGGCGGGGCCGCGACGGGGCCGCGACGGGGCCGCGAAAGAGCCGCGGCGGGCGACGGGGCAGGGCCGCGACAGGGCCGCGACGGAGCGGCGTCGGGCGACGGGGCAGGGCCGCGACGGGGGGCCGCGACGGGGGGCCGCGACGGGGGGGGCGCGATGGGGGGCCGCGACGGGGGGCCGCGACGTGGGGCCGCGACGGGGCCGCGACAGGCGACGGGGCAGGGCCGGGGCGAGGCACCGCCGCGCGCCACGGGGCGCCCGACGGTCAGAAAACCGCCGCGCGCCACGAGCGCGCGGCGGGAAGAAAAAACAGCGTCGCGCGTCACGGGGCGCGCGACAGACAGGAAAGCAGCGGAAGCAGGTGGGCCCACAGGCCAAGAGCGTAACAGCTCTGACACCATGTTAAGATAGTAGGCAGAATGAGGAGCCATGGCTAGGGTTTAGCTAGCCAGGCAAGAGAGAATAAGCAAAAGAAGAGGGTTGGACTAGCAAGCAGGAGGATACATATAGGAAACCCTAGATTGGGCTGTACTCACTATTGAGTACCCCACTGCAGGCTAGACAAATATAACATATTCTGACACAGATGGGGGTCGGTACTGTACCATGCAGCCAAAAACTCTTAACATTTTTGTGCTGCCCTGTTTTCCTGTCCACAGCAGGTGCGGTGATGCGTTGTTCGGTAGTGACGACGACGAAAGCAAGTTGTGCAGCATGACAGCGTGGTCCATCGCTTCAGGCCACTGGTGATTGGGCAGTCGCATGCCACGCAGTAACTTGCGCATGGTGTTATGGAGAGTTCGATTCATCCGTTCCGCCACGCCTTGCTGTTGATGGGCGTAAGGAAGCGAGATGAGCCTCCTGATTCCCCTTTCTGCCAAGAACTGCTTGAACCTCTGTGAGGTGTATTCTCCTCCTCCGTCTGACTGAAAGCTTTTCAGTTTCTCGCCTGATTCTCGTTCTGCTACTGGGAGCCAAGCAATGAAGGCTTCGAAGGCCATGTCCTTGCTCGGAAGATTGAGGTGCCAAACGTAACGTGTAGCTGCATCGATGAACGTGATGGTATAACTGTATGCTCCTTGTCCGGGTTCGCGATTGTACAGGATGTCGCTGTACACCTTTTCAAGTGGTGCGTAAGCTGGTGCGCTGGGGTTGTGGTGAGAAGTGAAAGGTCGATGCGGTAAGTCAGCTTCGGGGCAGGTAAAACACGTTCCTCGCGCTCGTCGAAGTTCACTTCCGTCAGTTAGAAGCAGTGAGTCTTTGTCGAGAACTCCTGCTCTGATTGTGTTGTTTAACACCGTATTACTTGGATGTCCCATTCATGCGTGCTAGATGTCTTCGCTGGCGCGATGTCCGGGTGAACGACGATACAGGTCGGAGTTGGAGTAAAAGGCGGCGGTGAAGTTGGCGCTTCTGTGAATTTCGCGAGGAGTGGGAGTTAGCTGCTGCGCAGGAGTCGGTGAAGTATTGTCGATGTGTGGCGATGCCGTTGAAGAACTTGCGACTGGTGTTGTAAGTGTTGTTGGTGTTGCCGATGTTGTTTCTGCTGCTGCCGATGTTGTTTCTGCTGCTGCCGATGTTGTTTCTGCTGCTGCCGAGTGTTGAATCGTTGCTAATGCTCTTGTTCGTTCTGCTTCAGGGATGGTGTGCGAGTACCAGAAGCCTTCTGGACTGAAGTCGGGGTCAAGATCCGGTGGATGTGTCCAAGAGGTGAAGGTGACGATCCCGTCGCTGTCAGCAGTGCCGAGATCTGGGACGAAGTCGAGGACGAAGACATTATTCTTCAGGACTGCTTTGCCGATGTAGAGTCCTCCTCGACTGTGGAAGAGCTTGAACTCCTGTGTGGTGCTGTCTGCTTCAAGATGGATCCCCTTCGCCATTAGTTGACTGACGCTTAGTAAATTATAGCCGAGTCCCTCTGCTATTAAAACCTTTGACATTTGCAGTATAACGTTTGTCTCTCGTGACTGAAGTTGCACTACGCCTTGTCGTCGTGTGCGCAGGTTCTGATTGTTGGCGACGGTGATGACAACCTCGCGTTGAAGTTGGTGTTCACGTTGAACAAAACGTCCTGAAGAACACATGTGCTGTCCACAGCAGCTGTCCAAGAACCATGTATCTTTTCCGGACGGCTCACTTTGAGCGATAGCTGCATACGTCGGATTTGGTTGAAGTGACTCGCGGTGAGGCGTGTTGTTGTTAAGTTGCTCTTCAGGTGAGTAATATGGTGGTGACTCTGTGATGCAGGAGTCGGTCAGTCGTGTCATGCAACTAACGATGTTTCTTGTTCCTTGCGCAGGTTGTCCCGTCGATGACGTTGAGGCTTGTACTTGAGGAGTCGAACTCGCTTGCGTTGAGGCAACTTGACTGCTTGAAGGCCGAAGCTGCCGCTGCGTTGGTACTGACTGCTGTCGGTTAGGGCAGTGTGAGCGAGGATGCCCTGACATCTTGCAAAGGTGACAGAATGGAGGTACTGGTTTTGGTTGATGCCGATTGTTGTTGTTGTAGCGTCGTTGAGTGTGGAATGCAAATTCGGGCACTGATGCCTTCTTCTTGTGTCGTTCCTCTTGCAGGTCCATATCTTGCTGCTCAGCATGGATTTCGGCGCAGAGTGCTGCTTTTGATATCTTTCCATGCGCTCAGAGTATGGCGCGGGTGGAGAGCCACTGAGGACCGAGGCCGCCGATGATGACTGTGACGAAGGCGTCTTCTGAAATCGACCCTCCGCATCGAAGGAGTTTGTCGCGCAATTCGCGACAACGGCTGATATACGCCATCCCCTTTTCGCCTGGTTTCATTTCGACTGTCGTCAGTTGCGCCATTAACTGACTTTGGTTTACGCTGTCTGTTGCTTGATACAGGTTCTTCAGGTGGTTGTACGCGAGCTCTGCAGAGTTGCCGTAACCCCGGTAAGACCGTATGTTCTGCTGCTGACTTGGAGTGATATTTCTCAGCAGTATTGTGTACGCCATCATTGACTGATACGTGTACTGCTGCTTATCGTACTGTGTGCCGTGTGTTGGATATGACAGGGACCCGTCGAAGAAGCCAAGGATCTGCGCGCCTTCCATCATAAGCTCGAGCTCGAATGACCAGGTAAAGAAGTCCTTTCCGTCGAAAGGCCTTGTCGTTTGCAGTTTTAAGACGTGCGCGAACTGCGACTGAACTTGAAGTGCATCCAGTGTCTTTTCTTGTCCGGATGCAGGCTGCGGGTGTGGCATAAAGCTGACAAAACCACGCTGGGGCTCGTACGGAGCAAAGGTAGGCCGTTGCTGTTGATTTCCGCGTGTGTACGATGAACCATCTAGGCTCATTGGTGTTGCGTTGTTGTTGTTGCTGTTGTTTGACTGTGCAGGTGCCCCTTGCTGGTGCTGTTCGTAGAAGGACATGAAGGAGAAGAACTTCTCCATCATGTCTGGATCGAAGACCGCAGCTTGATTTGCGGGAGTTTCCGAAGACGATGCCCTTGGTCTTGTTGCCGTACCCTCCTCTGTCTGTAGGCCAGAGGCAGGAGGTGGAGTAGGAGTAGTGCCAGGAGAGCCGTTAGAGGAGCTTCTCTCCTTCTGCGTTGCCATGTCTTGTGATGTCGTAGATATCTTGATCGTAGTTGAATTTGTCCTGACCGCTCTCATACCATGTTGGGCTGAAAAGGCCCTTAGGATCTTTACAGGACAGATTTCAAGAGTAGGATGATGTAGTAGCGGAAGCGTTTAATGAAGGATTGTGAACCACCTTGCGCTAGTATATGAGGGCAAAGTAAGTTGATAATAACAAAAGGATACAAGCTTTAATATGATTACAAGGAATATGAAAGAGTTCTATTTTAACTGTTTTTGCTGTTGCGGTTCGATACAGTGCCGACTCGGGTAACTGCTCTGTAACGAGTCAGTTATATGTCCTTGCTGTCGCACTGTATATTTCGTCAGGTCAAAGGTCGGGGACCTTTGACCGTCGCGTAACCTCCGACGGTTGACTCGCGTGATACTTCGCTGTAGTTAGTTCCGTTTTGTGTCTCAGCTTCGATACGACAGAGGCGCTATAAATCACTTGTTTCCAACAACATTCGCCTCGCCACTATTCCCGCCACTGTTCACGACGTGACCCAACCTCACGGCTCGGTTGGTAACCCGCGCTCCGGACCTCCGCCTCGACAATTCCCAACCTCTGCACTAGGCCCGTCGCGCACCCCATTTGTCCTCGTTACTGTATCGTTACCACTGTAGCTTCGCTATATATTCATCGCTCAATCCTTCGCTCATTGTATTCTTGTCTCAATATTGCAATCCTCGCTCGCTCACTCAATTGCACTCGTAACATTTAGGAATAATGTAACCAATCCGTAAATAAAAAACCTGGGAATTGTTCAGCATCGTTTTCTCAATTTAATAATAAGGACACCGATTTTCTACGAAAGCAATATGAACGTATTTACATTGTAGACGTTGTAGCCATTTTCTGGTAACCTCAATTTGAATAAATCAGGTTGGACAGGAAGTCTGCAGAAGTTGCATAAGCAGTTATGTTAACAAAGATTCATCTACACAACTTCCTAAATTTAGATGTGCGCAGTTCCGCAGGCAAGCCACAGAAAATCTTCCTCCATACAAGCACAACCCGGAACCTTGGCTGCCCCCTCCACCCCGCCATGTTCCCATAAGGCGGGACGGCGCCGTCGAATGTGATTATATGGTACGGGGCGAGGAAGGGTAGTGTGTAGGGCTTGAGAGCGAGAGGAGTGGCGTATGAGAGGGGGAGGCGGTGGGCTGGGGGGGAGGTGTACCAGGAAGAGTAAGCAGCGTTGAGGAAATGGTTTATGGAGTCGGTTGGAAAGAGAGGTGATGATAGACGACTGATGAAGGCCTGTGGTGGAGGAGGGGTGAAGGGGATGGGGGGAAAGGAAGGGGAAAGGAAGGAAGGAAGAAAGAAACAATGAGAGGGGGAGGCGGTGGGTTGGAGGGGAGGTGTACCAGGAAGAAGAGCATTTAGGAAATGGTTTAGAGGGTCGGTCGGAAAGAGTGATGATGATAGACGATTCATGAAGGCCTGTGGTTGGGGTAAGGGATGGAGGGGATGGGAGGAAGGAAGGAAGAACCGATGGGATTAGATGGCAAAGAATGACGCGGTTGGGAAGAGCGGCGATGATAGACAATTCATGAAGGCCTGCGGTGGGGAAGGGGTGAAGGGGATGGGGGGGGGAGGAAGGAAGAAAGGAAGGAAGAAAGAAAGAAACGAGACAGGGAGGTGGTGAGCCAGGAGGAGTAAGCAGTGGTGAGGAAATGATTTACGGAGTCGGTTGGAAAGAGAGGCGATGATAGACGATTCATGAAGGCCTGCGGTGGAGGAGGGGTGAAGGGGATGGGAGGTAAGGAAGGAAGGAAGAAAGAAACAATGAGATGAGGATATGAAGGAAGAAAAAGTGGGATGAGGTGGCAAAAAAAAAAACTTAAGCAGACAACAGTGACGAGGCATACTCATGCTTATTCCGCATGGTGAAATCCACATAACGTGGCTGCGTATGAGACATGGATCAAGAAAAAAAGGTACACCAAATATAAATCAAGCACGTGTATCAAGAAAATAGGTACACCACGAAACATAGTTCAAGCATTTGTATCACGAAAATATGTACACCAAACATTAATCAAGCATGTGTATCACAAAAATAGGTACACCAAGGAAAAAGTGCCTGAGACGTGGATAAAGGAAATAGGTACACCAGCCATAAATCAAGAAAAAAACAAGGAAAACGACAGACCCGACAGAGCTGCTCAGAGAAAAAAGGCAGGGAGAGGGGCGGCAACTTCAGAGTCAACCAGAATAGGTCACTCGGGGATTCGAGGCGTACCTGAAAGAGCTGGTCTGAGGGAGCGAGGAGAAGGGTATTAGTGGAAAAGCGGTCAGGCGGCAGGGAGAGAGGGGCGGTGGCGAGCAAGAAGCGTTCACAGAGCACATGAGAATCACATGGAAAGCGTGGTGTAGAGTATAAGTACCTGATAGAGGCTCTCCGAGGGAGGGAGAAGGAGCGTGGAGGGGGAAGGAGGCGAACAAGAAGCCTTCAGAGAGCACAGCACATGAGAATCACATGACAAGCGTGGTGCAGAGTATAAGTACCTGATAGAGGTTCTCTGAGGGAGCGAGGAGGAGCGTGGAGGTGGAGAAACGGTCAGGAGGCAGGGAGAGAGGGGCGGCGGCGAATGGGCGGTGGTGGGAGAAGAGTTGAAGGCAGGATCGCCAGAAGAGGGAGAGGGGATGCACATAGGCTATTAGTGGGATGTCGACCTGTTGGTTGGGGGGCGGAAGGACGGGAGGGAGTCAGGGGGGTTGGGAGGTGAGCAGAAGCGAAGGGGCGGTGGTGGGAGAAGAGGTGGAGGTAGGAACGCCAGAAGAGGGAGAGGGGATGCACGAAGACAATAAGTGGGATGTCGGTCTGTTGGTTGTGGGATCGTGGAGGGAAAGGGGGGCAGGTAGAGTAAAGGGGATCACGGGAAAAAGGAGCACGGAGAAGGGATAACAGTGTGAAGGGGTGGTGGTGGCAGGTGAGGGCAGGATCGCCAGAAGAGGGAGAGGGGGTGCACGAAGGCAATAAGTGGGATGTTGGTCTGTTGGTAAGAAGTTGGAACGAGTGATTGGGAGGTGGGGAAAGTGAGGAGGGGAAAAGCGAGTATGGAGAGAAATTCTGAGCATGAGGGAGTATGGAGAGAAAATTTGAGCACGAGGGAGCGTGGGAGAGTATGGAGGGCAGTGCGTGGGAAGTCCATTCCCTCATGCCATTCCTCTATTTTTGTTTTTGCTTTGTTTATGTGTGTGTGTGTGTGTGTGTGTGTGTGTGTGTGTGTGTGTGTGTGTGTGTGTGTGTTTTTCCCTTTTCCAGTTTCTGGCCCCACCACACCTGCCACCATAACTGAACCCACCTGCTGCCACAGCCTGAGAATCAGAAAGTCGGGCGGCAGAGGTCGGGCGGCACGAGCTGGCGGGCGGCGCAGAGAGATGGGGTCGACCACTCGCACGGACCAGAAGAGAGACTGTGGGGGATAGTGAAGGAAGGGGGGCAAGGGTGGGGGCGGGTGTGTAGGAGATATTAGAGAGAGTAGAGATTGGGTTGAGAGTACAGTGAGTGGGGTTGACAGCACGCACGGACCAGAAGAGAGTCTGTGGGGGGTGCTGTTGAAAGGGAGGAAAAGGGGAGAGTTGGGATGAGTGAGCAAACAAGCCTGACTGAAGAGAGCAGGTGAGGCGAGAGCGAGGTGGCGAGCAGTGAACAGAGACGAACCAGAAGAGAGACTGTGGGGTGGTGACAGGGAGGAAAAGGGGAGAGTTGGGATCAGTGAGCAGAGCAACAAGCCTGACTGAAGAGAGCAGGTGAGGGGAGAGTGAGCTGGCGGGCAGTGGACAGAGACGGGACAGAGACGGGGCCGGTGAGGGAGGAACCAGTGGAGGGAGTGGGTGGGGAGGGTGAAAAGAGAGGGAGGAGTGTGCAGGAGGGAGGTGAGCATCCTGCCTCTGCTATGCACTTCCTGGATTGTCCCGGAAGGTGAGCAGGGAGGGGCAAGATGCAGAGTCACAGACCAGGACAAACCAGGAAAGGCAAGCGATTATGGGGCACATGTAAAAAAAAAATCAGTCACACAGACCAGTCCAGAAGAGAGATTCTGGAGAATAGGGGCCATCCTGACAATGAGGATTTCATTTTGCCGACAAGATAGGGATCTTGCGTGGCTGAGAATAAAAGAATCGAAGAGAAAATAGAAGAGAAAATAGAAGAGATAATAGAAGAGAAAATAGAAGAGAAAATAGAAGAGAAAATAGAAGAGAAAATAGAAGAGAAAATAGAAGAGAAAATAGAAGAGAAAATAGAAGAGAAAATAGAAGAGAAAATAGAAGAGAAAATAGAAGAGAAAATAGAAGAGAAAATAGAAGAGAAAATAGAAGAGAAAATAGAAGAGAAAATAGAAGAGAAAATAGAAGAGAAAATCGAAGAGAAAATAGAAGAGAAAATAGAAGAGAAAAAAGAAGAGAAAATAGAAGAGAAAATAGAAGAGAAAATAGAAGAGAAAATAGAAGAGAAAAAAGAAGAGGAAATCGAAGAGAAAATAGAAGAGAAAATAGAAGAGAAAAAAGAAGAGAAAATAGAAGAGAAAATCGAAGAGAAAATAGAAGAGAAAATAGAAGAGAAAATCGAAGAGAAAATAGAAGAGAAAATAGAAGAGAAAATCGAAGAGAAAATAGAAGAGAAAATAGAAGAGAAAATAGAAGAGAAAATCGAAGAGAAAATAGAAGAGAAAATAGAAGAGAAAACAGAAGAGAAAAAAGATGTTGAAAGGCATCCATAAGCCAAGGATGCCTTTGGGAATCTTTTAGTCGACTCGAGAAACATCCATAAGAGGATGCCTTCGGGAATTCTCAAAAGCCGATGAGCTGATGATGAAACTGTAATGATGTTTCGAGCCTCATCACAGCCTCAGTAAAAAAAAAAGGGGGGGGGGTGCTCTGTTTACTCACCTCAAAGTCGTAAGGCACTTATTTCTCCTTGGCCACTTTAGACGACACCAACAGCAGCTGAGGATAACTGAACTAATTAGTAGCTGATCCGTTTTAAAACGACTGCTAATTATTTTACTCGCCTCAAAGTCGTAAGGCGCCCATTTCTCCCTGGCCACTCTAGATGACACCAGCAGCAGTGTACGGCGGCACTTGTCCTTATCCACACCGGCCCGGCCGGCCTTCATCACCCTCCTCCCTCCCATCCCCTCTTCCCCACTCCCCTCCTCCCCTCCTTCCCCTCCTCCTCCTCCCTCTCCTACGCCACCCCTCTTCTTGCTTCTCTCCTCCTGCTCCCTCCCCCACCCACCCCTCTTCTTCTGCTTGCCATGCTTCCCTGTAGACCGATCTCTAGATAACGCTGAAGCACCGATGCTAGAGCCGACAATGCCGCCATCGGTGCTGTTTGTCTCATCTGGCCGCCCGCAATGATGGCGGCGGAAGGATCGGATCCACACGGCCACGGGGATGATGTCAGCTGCTGACGTCAGCACTGTAGCAAACACGCCTTCCTCTGTCTGCCTCTGCCTTTCCTGCTCCTGCTGCTCGTGTTTCTGGGAAGTTTCCTCAGCGGCAGAGCCAGCCAATCCGGTGACAGAGACTAACCCTGCTGTCGATCTCCTCCCTTTGTAACCGTTCTCAACCGCTCTTGATCGCGCTCCTGACGCTCCTCCTGCTCCTGCTGCCGCTGCTGCTGCTGCTCCCAAATCATCACCGCTCTTGCTTACAGAACCGGATGAGGAGGAGGAAGAGGAGGAGGAGGAGGATTCGAGAGGGTCGAAGAAGGAATCGAGGGCAGAGGTGGAGGCGAGGGATCTGGAGCTGCCTGCCCTCCCTGCCTTGGCCTCCCCACCTGCTGCTGCTGTTGATGATCGACTGCTTTCTTTTACAGATGAAGAGGAGGAAGAAGAGGAGGGGAAGGAGAAGGAGGAATCGAGAGGGTCGAAGAATGAGTCGAGGGCAGAGGTAGAAGCCAGGGTTCTGGTGGTGCCTCTTCCCCCTGCCTTGGCTTGCTGACCTGTCATTGCTGCTGCTCCTGTTGATGATTCACTGCTGTCTGTTGCTGGAATGGAGGAAGGAAAGGAGGAAGAGGAGGAGGAGAGGGAGGACTGGAGAGGGTCGAAGAAGGAGTCGAGAGCAGAGGTGGAGGCGAGGGATCTGGTGCTGCCTCTTCTCCCTGCCTTTACCTGCCCACCTGCCGTTGCTGCTGCTGTTGGTATCGATTCACTGCTGTCTTTTACGGGTGAAGAGGAGGAGAGGGAGGACTCGAGAGGGTCGAAGGAGTCGAGAGCCGAGGTGGAAGCGAGGGATCTGCCTGTTCTCCCTGCCTTGGCTTGCAGACTGTTTTGGTTAGAGGAGTGAAGGGTGGAAGAGGAGGAAGAGGAAAAGGAGGAATCTAGAGGATCAAAGAACGAGTCGAGAGCCGAGGTGGAAGCGAGGGACCTTGAGCTACCTGCTCTCCCCGCCTTGGTTGGCTGATTTGCTGTTGCTGATGTTGATGATGACTCACTCCTGTCTTTTACAGATGAGGAAGAGGAGGAAGAGGAGAGGGAGGACTGGAGAGGGTCGAAGAAGGAATCGAGGGCAGAGGTGGACGTGAGGGACCTAGAGGTGCCTGCTTGCGACTTGGCATGCCCACCACGGCTGTGCTTGGCACGGTTATGGTTACGGTTACCATGTAACCTCTGCTGCTCGTACTCTTTCCGCTGCTGCTGCGGCCGGTTCTGCTGCTTCTCCTGCTCGTTTCCCTGCTGCTGATGCTGGGAGTGTAATGGAAGCGGTGGGTCATTGAGCGTATCAGAAGAGGCGAGTGGAAGCGAGGGGGGGAGGGAGGAGGGGGACCAGAGCCATTGAGGGAGGTGAGGAGGGGGGCAAGGAGAGGAGGAGGAAAGCGAAGAGGAGGAGGAGGAAAGAGAAGAGGAGGTGGAGGTGGTGGAGGAGGAAGAGGAAGAGGGAAGGGAGGAGGAGGAGGAGGAAGAGAAGGCGGGGAGTGCAATGAGGGGCATATCAAGATGAAGCTGGGGGATTAGCCCTACCCAGGGCAGTTGGGCCACTCCTGCCCAGGAACACACTGGGGAGGCGAGGAGGGGAGATGGGGAGGAAGTGGATGGTGGGGGAGGAGTAGAAGAGGGAGTGGGGGAAGGAAGAGGTGTGTTTGAGGTGTCATGAGGAGGGGAGGAGGAGGAGGAGGAGGAGGAGGAGGAGGAGGAGGAGGAGGAGGAGGAGGAGGAGGAGGAGGAGAGAGGAGGCGAGGTGGGAACTGGAGAGGAGGAAAGGAGAGTAGGTGGTAGTGCGGAAGGGAGTGTTGTGGTGCTCCCGTTGCCTACCTGCTCCTTTCCCAAATTCACTGCTGCCTCTTTTCCCAGCCTCACTGCCCGCACCTTCTCCACTTCTGCCCTCTCCTTCCCCAACCTCACTGCTACCATCTCTCCTAGCTTCTCTCCCCCCTCCTTCCCTATCTCCCCAGCTCCTTCCTTCCCCACATCCACTGCTCCCCCTTTCCCTGCTCCCACCTTCCCTAGCTTCAAAGCTCCCGTGTTACTTAAGTTCATTGTTCCCCTGTTGCCTACATCTACAGCTCCTGTTCGTGACAGGGGAGCCTTTGAACTTGTAAAGTTTGCTGTTCTGTGCTCAGCTGCCCAGCCCTTCAACCCCCTCCCCAATCGCCCCTTCCCCTCCCCGTTCCCCTCGCTCTTCCCTTCCGCTGTTCTCTCCCCCTTCCCCTCCCCCATGCCCCCCGATTCCCCCTCCGCGCCCTTCCCTTGCCCCTGCCCCTGCCCATGCCCATGCCCCTGCCCATGCCCATGCCCATGCCCATGCCCATGCCCTTGCCCCTGCCCCTGCCCCTGCCCCTGCCCCTGGCCCCCACAGTGCGTCCCCTCCCCCAGGGGAGCCGCCCACTCCCCCTGCTGCAGCGACCAGTACAGGGCAAGCCAGGCTCGGCACCACACCGAACAGAAGCCCCAGGCTCGGTCGGCCTCGGACAGGTATGGGAGAGGTCCGGAGAGGAGGGGATGGGTGGGTATGGAAGGGGAGGAGGAACGGTGGGGAGAGGGGTCTGGAGTGATGGCACAGCCACAAGCACAGGAAGAGGAGTTAGAAGTAGTGGCAGCAGCAGCACTACCAGCAGCAACAGCAGTAGCAGCACCAGTAGCAGCACTACCAGCAGCACCAGCAGCAGCACCAGCAGCAGCATTACTAGCAGCACTACCAGCAGCAACCCTGTTCCCCGCACCCTTAAAGCCCAGCTCCTGACTCCCAGGGATCAGCTGGTCCAAGGGCGTGTTCAGAAAGAGCCAGGGTTTGAACCAGGGGTTGGCGAAGTGCACTGTGTGAACAGGCCCTAGGTGCAGCGGGGCGCAGTCAGGGCCGCAGGGGGGGTGTAACCAGGAGGGAGGTTGGTACCAGGGGAGGGGGAAGTGGAGGATAGCGTTGGAGGTGAAAGGGAGGCGGCAGGAGGGGTGGGACTGGAACCAGTGGCGAAACACAGAGTTGAGAAAATCCTGTTGATGGGGAGGAGAGGGGGCAGCAGAGGTGGCAGGGAAAGGAGGGATGGAGAGCAAGCAACAGGAGGGGAGGGCGCAGGGGGGCAGGGGGGAGAGAGGGTGAGTGAGATGGTGCAACCAGGAGGGAGGTTGGTACGAGGGGAGGGGGAAGTGGAGGATGGCGTTGGTGGTGAAAGGGAGGCGGCAGGAGGGGTGGGACTTGAATCAGTGGCGAAATACTGAGTTGAGAAAATCCTGTTGATGGGGCAGAGGTGGGGAGCAAGGGGGGCCAGGGAAGGGCATGGGGCAGCAGGAGGGTGTGTGGAGGTGAAGGGGAGGCGGCAGGAGGGGTGGGACTTGAACCAGTGGCGAAACACCGAGTTCAGAAAATCCTGATGATGGGGAGGAGAGGGGGCAGCAGAGGGGGCAGGGAAAGGAGGGATGGAGGGCAAGCAACAGGAGGGAGGGCGCAAGGGGGCAGGGGGAAGAGAGGGTGAGTGAGATGGTGCAACCAGGAGGGAGGTTGGTACGAGGGGAGGGGGAAGTGGAGGATGGCGTTGGAGGTAAAGGGGAGGCGGCAGGAGGGGTGGGACTTGAACCAGTGGCGAAATACTGAGTTGAGAAAAGTTTTGAGACGTCTCAAAGCGAAATACTGAGTTGAGAAAAGTTTTGAGACGTCTCAAAGCGAAATACTGAGTTGAGAAAAGTTTTGAGACGTCTCAAAGCGAAATACTGAGTTGAGAAAATCCTGTTGATGGGGGAGAGGAGGCAGCAGGGGGAGCAGGGAGCGGCAGGAAGGGCATGGGACAGCAGGGGGGTGTATGGGGGGGGGGAGCATGAGTGGTAGGAGGGGACATGGGCCAGAAAGAGGGGAAATGGGAACAGGGGGAGGAGCAGGACGGGTGGGTGTGGTAGCAGTGGTAAAACAACATCATCGACAGCTCTTTCCGAGGGAAAACATCATAATCTCCCCTCCCCCTGTTCCCATTTCCCCTCGCTGGAATATGTCTCAAAGTCTTTCCGAGGTAAAACATCATCATCTCCCCCCCTGCCATACCTGGTCGTTAGGCATGGCGCCAGTCTGCCATACCTGGTCGTTAGGCATGGCACCAGCGCGAGCAGCCACGGCAACAGCCACCACCTTGGCCCGCCTCACAATCTGCCGGAACACCGCGAGGCTCGGCCGAACCAGCAGCACGCCTGCGTTGAAGCGGTCAGCCTCGTACACGTCAGGTGCGGCAGCCAGAGGCTCGGGGCAGGGCTGCCTGTGGGGGGAGGTGGTATCTGGTGAAGGGCTGTCTGAAGGTTCCACCCTGCCTGCTCCCTTATTGCTCATTCCACTGCTGCTACTGCTGCTGCTGCTGCTGCTGCCGCCACCACCACTGATGCTGCTGTTGCTGCTGAAGGTGCTGCTGCCATTGTCCGCATTACTAGGAAACAGGTGATCCAAATTCCTCGTTATAAGCACATCCACGTCTAGATACAACACCCACTCATACTCCACCAACCGCCAGACATGAAGCTTCCTGTAACCTTCCACAGGAGACCCCCCCCCTGCCATCCCCGCCCCCTGATTGGTCCCCAAACCATCCCCAGCCGCCCCACCAGCTCCGCCGCCCGATCCCCCCCAACCCGCCACCCCTCCGCCACCCGGATTCGCTACTAGCAGCGGATTGGCTGCGACGGCGGCTCCTTGAAGGTGATTGGCCGGGAGGGGGATGACAGCGGTGAAGTGGCGGAGGAGGAGGGGGAGGGGGAGAGTGGAGGGCTGGCGGGGCACGGAGGAGGAGAGGAGGAGTAGGAGGTCGTGGGGGGTGCGGGAGAATCGGAGTGCTTGCGCCGCCACTATGGCAGGTCGGAGCTGGAAGGGGGGGGGGAGGGGAAATCAGGAGAGAAATAAAGCACATAAGAGGGGACGAGGAGGAGAGGAGGAGTAGGAGGTCGTGGGGGGTGCGGGAGAAGCGGAGGGCTTGAGCTGCCACTATGGCCGGACGAAGCTGGAAAGGGGGAAGGGGAGGGGAGGAGGGAGGGGGCAGAATGAGGGGGTGCGGGAGAAGCGGAGAGATTGAGCCGCCACAATAGCTGGACGGAGCTGGAAGGGGGGAGGGGAGAGGAAGAGGTGGAAATGAGGGGCAGAGTGGAGGGCTAGTGGGGCACGGAGGAGGAGAGGAGGAGAAGATGCGGAGGGCTTGAGCTGTCATATCGTTGGATGGAGCTGTAAGGTGTTGGGGTTGGAGGGGGAAGGGGGAGGGGGAGGACAAATGGGGGACGTGGAGAGGACAGGAGGGAGGGGTGGGAAGAGACTGGTGGGGGGGGGAACAAGAGAGGTTATGGAACGAAAGACAGGGGAGGGGGGAGACGGGGAGTTGGGAGAGGAGGAGATGAGGAGAGGAGGAGATGAGGAGAGGAGGAGATGAGGAGAGGAGCGAGAGAATTGTGGGAGCGGGGAAAAGAGAGACAGACATGGTTACGAATGTTACAAGAACGAGGTTTCTGCTACAGTGACGCTGTTACAGAACACCCACCACAGCCACACGCATGTTACAATCACAATGTGTTTGTTACAATGATGCTGTTTCGATCACCTACTTTAGAAAACTAAACTACCACACAAATTTCCGTATCACGCGAAACCAACCAAGTTATAAGCAGTTGTCAACGCATACTGAGCCTTACCCCTCCCCTCCCCCTCTCCCCCCTCCCCTCCCACTCTCCCCCCTCCCCTTCCCCTCTCTCCCCTCCCCTCCCACTCTCCCCCCTCCCCTCCCCCTCTCCCCCCTCCCCTCCCCCTCTCCCCCCTCCCCTCCCACTCTCCCCCCTCCCCTTCCCCTCTCCCCCCTCCCCTCCCACTCTCCCCCCTCCCCCCCCCTCTCCCCCCTCCCCTCCTCCTCTCCCCCTCCCTCCTCCCTCTATCTCCCAACCTGCATCCACCCGCACACCAGCCCGAACCAGGAACGAACCACCAACCAGACTAGACGAATGAACGATGAACACGTAAGCAAATCGCGATTTCGCCATCCCCGAACGAAGAGCACCCAGAGAGTCGCCTCCTCTCCCCACCTTCCCTCCCCTTTCCGCTGCGCCTCTTCCCCCTCGCCCTCCCCTTTCTCCCCCTTTCCCTTCCCCGCGCCGACTTCCATCTCCCCCCTCCCCTTCCGCCTCCCCTTCCCCCGCTCCCCATTCCCCCTCGTCCGCTTCCGCCTGTAGCCGCGCCTCTAATTGCATTCTTAAAGCCCGCGTTCGCTGGCGCCGCTCCTTCCACCCGCCTTGAAGCCGCACGCGCCGCGTAGCGGAGTTCACGCCGCCAATCGCGCCGCCATAGGTTGCATTGATCCTGGTGGATTCTAAGCCGTGGTTCCCTAGACCGTACCCTGACCACTCATCTTCGAGCGACTCGGCTACATAGCTAGTGTTTTCTATCTTCCCCTTACCCGAGCCGCGAATACGACCTCGATCGCGGTCTAGGCCACTAGAAATGGAGCGTTCTGATTGGTCGGAGTCGGGCGGTTCGGAGGAGATCAATAGGCTGTAGCAGTAACAGGTGGCGAGAACTACGGCGATTAGAAGGAGAGGTAGAATGCGCTTTAAAGGCCGACGTTTCTTAGGTAAAGGATACGTTTTCCCCTTAACCGCAGGACTGGACCACACGCGAGGCTTCGGCATCGTACCTGCCGATTAAATGCACACTCAAATAAAGCTTCGTATGGTACCGAACTAAGTTAACGAATTAATAACCATGGACTGAAAAGACCTGGTTCCGCGCAGGGTGCGCGAAAAATGCGCGAGAAGAAACGTACAATACGCGGCAATAAAGTGACTGCCTCGTTTTGGCATTGCGATGGGTTCGGACGTGGCTTGCGTCCAAAAGACGGTCGCAATTCGTGGGATGCTCCTTAGCAGCGTCCGTGCTCTCGAAAGCATTCGATCCGAGCCTAGTCCCAGAAGCCGAAATGTGCGTCCATGGCTACTAAACAGAAATTCTCAAAGGTGTGTATTCCCGAAGGTGCTGAATCCCAGGATTAGGGCGGGTTATGGTTTGTCGTTTCGGGGAAATGACATCAGTGTAAGAAAACCGGACGCTTCGGATGACATCACATCCGAACCAAGTTCATGCAGCGTCCTCGGGGCACCACACTGACACGCAATCTTGCCCGCACGATTTGAAATATCCATGAACATTTCTTTTGCGATCAATTGGTGAGCATCCTAGATCTCTGATTGGACGAGGAAAACATAAAAACGTCGCAGGCGAAAAGTAACCCTATCTTGGTAGTTGAGAAGGACTTGATTTCGCGCTAAAGTTTGCAACACTTTCAAAAACCACATGATTCACAAACAAGACGCGGTGGTATCCCGCGCGCGAAGAAGGGAAGCAAGTGCGTCATTTTTTTCCAGATTCAATTTGTGACGCGGTTACCCTATAGGCAACGGATAGAGTGAGCATAAATACCTGAGCTGGGACGAGCTGGACTGCCCTTAGGACCAGATTCCCAACGCCCGAAAATATCTCGTGGGCAGAAATGCATCATACAACAGATTCCTTTCCAGGGTGCGTATCTGAATACTCTTGTTATGGTGAGTGCAATTGCATATAAACGAAGCATCTTTTGGGTGCGTATCTGAATACTCTTGTTATGGTGAGTGCATTTGCATATAAACGAAGCATCTTTTGGCGAGAAATTATACGTGTCATCCTAACTGGCTTTCAAATCCTCCAACCGCCAGAAGCTAGCCACGTGACCATTTCTGCCGCCAGTCGCCTGCTTCGCGATTCGCAATTCATATGGCGCGCTCGCAAATCGCGAACCTCCCGTCTGGGTGCCGACACGTTTCACCAACTCTCGATTCTTCATTTTGTACGGTTTAATTAGGTGGATAGAGGTTTGAAGCGTTGCAGTGCCCACACAGACTGCCTTCCAGGAACTCTGCTGGTGTGAGCGACTTGATTTATATTTTATCGATTAAAGAGCTACTAGTTGATTCAACAACTAGTACCTTAGGTGGCAAGTTCTTCTCGTCTGTTGCATTACCCTTAATCTCGTGTGGATTGAGACGGGATCCCATGGCGACAATGGTTATGCGGTTACCAGGAACCGTTGCGTCCCTAGGCAATTCCGTCGCCGTTGGCCAGGCGAGAGAAGCCACGTGTGCGACGACAGCCTCTTTCGCACCATTGGCTTCGCTAAGAGTACCTTCGCTAAAATCCTCCTCGCTAAGAGCCAATTCTTTATCTCATATTCAATTATCCCGCCAAACGAATCGGATACATCAACGTCATCAAGCCACGTGGCGGTCCGTGCGTGCCCAAAGCCAGCAGCCAGAATCAAGCTCCACCAGAAGTACATCCAAAGACGGCCACGTCAGCAATGCTGACCTGGATTTGCCCGAATCGGTGGCTGCCAAGGTGGCAACTGTTGGCGAGCTTGACCTATCACCGCTCTCGCCCCCTGCTGACGTGGAGATCATTGATACGCAGACCGCCATGAAGACCGTCGGATTCTGGGTAAGCAACAAGCACATTTAGTACACCTTATAACGCGGATAAATTCAACGTGCAGTCTCGATGGTTCTTATAACGAACCTCTACCGCCTGTTAAGGAATAATGCCCTCAGTTCTCAGAACCAGCACTCTTCCCCTATCATCCTCCCTCGTTCCTTCTCCCCACTTCACGCCCTTTCTCCTGCCGCTGCAATCTGGTGCAAGGCCTCCTTGGAACATTTAGACTGAATTGTGGAGAGACCAACTTCACTTGCCTACCTTGCATCCCGCTCCCTCGCCTCCTTCGGCATTCCACCCTTCCGCTTCCCCCCGTTTTCTGCATCCGCCCTCTTCCGCCGCTCTTCCGCATTCCCTCCTCGTCCGCAGTCCCCCCTCTTCCGCATTCCGCCGCTCTTCCGCATTCCCCCCCATTCCGCATTCCCCCCTCTTCCTCATTCCCCACTCTTCCGCATTCCCCACTCTTTCGCGTTCCCCCCTCTCCGCATTCCCCTTCCTCCCTGCACTCTCCTCTTCCGCATTCCCCTTTCTTTCGCGTTCCCCCCTCTTCCGCATTCCCCCCTCTTCCGGATTCTTCTTATTTCCGCTTACCCCTCTCTTCCGCATCACCTTCTCCCGCTTTCCCTTTTTCCTCGACCAATGCGTCCCACCCAGTTCTCTCTCCTCCTCCCCCTCTCCTTCATCTTCCTCTTCTCCACACTCCTCTCCCCCTTCTTCGCCTCCCCTCCCCTTCCCCTCCCCTTCCCCTCCCCTCCCTTCCCCTCCCCTCCCCTCCTCTCAACTCCCCTCCCCTCCCCTCCCCTCCCCTCCCCTCCCCTCCCCTCCCCTCCCCTCCCCTCCCCTCCCCTCCCCTCCCCTCCCCTCCCCTCCCCTCCCCTTCCCACCAGGTGGCAGCAGCGACGGCAATCAGTTTAGGCATTGGTTTCGTTGACAGGCCCACTAAAGCTTCCCAATCCCTTTCCTCCTTTCCCTTCCCTTTCCTTCCCCGCCCCTCCCCGCCCCTTCCCTTCCCCTCCCCGCCCCTCCCCTCCCCTCCCCCCTAAATCAGGTGGCAGCAGCAACAGCGTTCGGTCTAGGCATTGGCTTTGTGGGAGGGCCCACCAAAGCGTGCGAGACTTTTCCTCCCTTTCCCATCTCCCTTTTTGGTCCTCTTTTCCCTCCCCTTCCATTCCATCAGGTGGCAGCAGCGACAGCCTTCGGTCTAGGCATTGGTTTCGTTGAAGGGCCCACCAAAGCATCGAAGCCCCTTCCTCCTTTCCCTTCCCTTTCCTTCCCCTCCCCGCCCCTTCCCTTCCCCTCCCCCCCCCACTACCTTCGCCTCCCCTCCCCTTCCCATCAGGTGGCAGCAGCGACAGCCTTCGGTCTAGGCATTGGTTTTGTTGAAGGGCCCACAAAAGCGTCTGAGTTCTTTGCGGGGTGAGAATGGGGTGGAGAGGGGCGGGGAGGGGTGGGAATGTGTGGGGGGGGGTGATGAAGGTGGGAAGAGCCCACCAGAGCGTCTGAGTTCTTAGCGGGGTGAGCGTGAGACATTGGGTGAGAGGCCTTAAAGGGGAGGGATAGGGTGGGTTGTGGAGGGTTGGGGAGCGGTGATGTGAGTGAAAAGGGCCCTTTATCAGAGTTCTTTGCAGTGTGAGATTGAAGGAGAGGGGCGGAACGGGAGGGGTGGGTTGGGGTGGGGTGGGGTGGGGTGGGGTCGGGTGCGGTGGGGTGCGGTGGGGTGAGTTGGGATGGGGATGGGTACGAAGAGATGATGCTCGTGGAAAAGGCCTACCAGACCAGAGCGTCAGAGTTCTTTGCAGGGTGAGACGTTGTGCGAGAGGGGTAGAAAGGCGAAGCAGCAAGCAAGGGTATGACACACTCGAAAGCTTGTGAGCTTGGGAGCTTGGGAGCTTGGGAGCTTGGGAGCAATGGTGAGCCAGTCACAACCTTACAAGGTCCCAAGCTCCAGAGGCGTGAGATGAGAGGTTGTGTTGGCAGGGAGGGAGGGGGAAGGGCCAACACAGCCTTAACTCTTCCTCTGGAGGCAAGGTTTCTGGAGGGTTGGAGAAGGTGCCTCGAAAGTGGCGAGAGCAGCGACTTTTGAGACGTCTCAAGCCTTGAAAGTGGCGAGAGCAGCGACTTTTGAGACGTCTCAAGCCTTGAAAGTGGCGAGAGCAGCGACTTTTGAGACGTCTCAAGCATTGAAAGTGGCGAGAGCAGCGACTTTTGAGACGTCTCAAGCCTTGAAAGTGGCGAGAGCAGCGACTTTTGAGACGTCTCAAGCCTTGAAAGTGGCGAGAGAAGCGACTTTTGAGACGTCTCAAGCCTTGAAAGTGGCGAGAGCAGCGACTTTTGAGACGTCTCAAGCCTTGAAAGTGGCGAGAGCAGTGAAACAGTAAGAATCTGATTGACTGGATGAGTGGTGCTCACTCACCCACTCATGAGCTGAGGTTCTTGCTTGCAGGTCCATATGGCAGGTTTCATTGGACCAGAGCCTGTCGTTGTGTTGGTGTCCTCATCTTCCCTCTCTGCTGCTTGCCACGTGGCAGGTATCTATTGGAGCAGAGCCTATCGGTGGACAATCTCTTTGTCTTCGTCCTCATCTTCTCCTACTTCAAAGTTCCCACAGCCTACCAGGTGGGTGCTCGTGCTCTACCACCCCTTTCCACCGCTTCCCATCCCACCAACACCCCTTCCCACTGCTGCCTGTCAGTGGACAATCTCTTTGTCTTCGTCCTCATTTTCTCCTTCTAAGTTGCCTACCACCCCTTCCCATCCCATTACCACCCCTTCCCATCCCACTACCACCCCTTCCCATCCCAATACCACCCCTTCCCATCCCATTACCACCCCTTCCCAACCCCTACCACCCGCTCCCACTGCTGTCAGTGAACTCACTCCTATTCCACAGTCCCACCCACCAGGCCCTCACTTCTTATTCGTGCCCTACCACTTCCCACTTTTGAGGCGCCTTTAGAGGAGACTTTTGAGGCGCCTCAAAAGCCGCTTCCCACTTTTGAGGCGCCTCATTAGCCGCTTCCCACTTTTGAGGCGCCTCAAAAGTCCACTGCTGTCACTGAACAATTCTCACTCCTATTCCACAGTCCCACCAGGCCCTCACTTACTATTAGTGCCCTACCGCTTCCCACTACCACCCCCTTCCCATCCCATTACCACCCCTACCGCTTCCCATTACCACCCCTTCCATCCCATTACCACTTCACCCCCTCACAAATCACAACCCACCTCTTCCCATCCCACTATCGCCGCACCCTGCCACTCAGGCATGCATCGCATTATTCTGCCAGCTCAGTGAGCTGCATGCGTGCAGTAGTGCTATGTCTGGGCATCGCATTATTCTTAGGTGCATCGCACTCAGGCATGCATCGCATTATTCTTAGGTGCATCGCACTCAGGCATGCATCGCATTATTCTTAGGTGCATCGCACTCAGGCATGCATCGCATTATTCTTAGGTGCATCGCACTCAGGCATGCATCGCATTATTCTTAGGTGCATCGCACTCAGGCATGCATCGCATTATTCTTAGGTGCATCGCACTCAGGCATGCATCGCATTATTCTTAGGTGCATCGCACTCAGGCATGCATCGCATTATTCTTAGGTGCATCGCACTCAGGCATGCATCGCATTATTCTTAGGTGCATCGCACTCAGGCATGCATCGCATTATTCTTAGGTGCATCGCACTCAGGCATGCATCGCATTATTCTTAGGTGCATCGCACTCAGGCATGCATCGCATTATTCTTAGGTGCATCGCACTCAGGCATGCATCGCATTATTCTTAGGTGCATCGCACTCAGGCATGCATCGCATTATTCTTAGGTGCATCGCACTCAGGCATGCATCGCATTATTCTTAGGTGCATCGCACTCAGGCATGCATCGCATTATTCTTAGGTGCATCGCACTCAGGCATGCATCGCATTATTCTTAGGTGCATCGCACTCAGGCATGCATCGCATTATTCTTAGGTGCATCGCACTCAGGCATGCATCGCATTATTCTTAGGTGCATCGCACTCAGGCATGCATCGCATTATTCTTAGGTGCATCGCACTCAGGCATGCATCGCATTATTCTTAGGTGCATCGCACTCAGGCATGCATCGCATTATTCTTAGGTGCATCGCACTCAGGCATGCATCGCATTATTCTTAGGTGCATCGCACTCAGGCATGCATCGCATTATTCTTAGGTGCATCGCACTCAGGCATGCATCGCATTATTCTTAGGTGCATCGCACTCAGGCATGCATCGCATTATTCTTAGGTGCATCGCACTCAGGCATGCATCGCATTATTCTTAGGTGCATCGCACTCAGGCATGCATCGCATTATTCTTAGGTGCATCGCACTCAGGCATGCATCGCATTATTCTTAGGTGCATCGCACTCAGGCATGCATCGCATTATTCTTAGGTGCATCGCACTCAGGCATGCATCGCATTATTCTTAGGTGCATCGCACTCAGGCATGCATCGCATTATTCTTAGGTGCATCGCACTCAGGCATGCATCGCATTATTCTTAGGTGCATCGCACTCAGGCATGCATCGCATTATTCTTAGGTGCATCGCACTCAGGCATGCATCGCATTATTCTTAGGTGCATCGCACTCAGGCATGCATCGCATTATTCTTAGGTGCATCGCACTCAGGCATGCATCGCATTATTCTTAGGTGCATCGCACTCAGGCATGCATCGCATTATTCTTAGGTGCATCGCACTCAGGCATGCATCGCATTATTCTTAGGTGCATCGCACTCAGGCATGCATCGCATTATTCTTAGGTGCATCGCACTCAGGCATGCATCGCATTATTCTTAGGTGCATCGCACTCAGGCATGCATCGCATTATTCTTAGGTGCATCGCACTCAGGCATGCATCGCATTATTCTTAGGTGCATCGCACTCAGGCATGCATCGCATTATTCTTAGGTGCATCGCACTCAGGCATGCATCGCATTATTCTTAGGTGCATCGCACTCAGGCATGCATCGCATTATTCTTAGGTGCATCGCACTCAGGCATGCATCGCATTATTCTTAGGTGCATCGCACTCAGGCATGCATCGCATTATTCTTAGGTGCATCGCACTCAGGCATGCATCGCATTATTCTTAGGTGCATCGCACTCAGGCATGCATCGCATTATTCTTAGGTGCATCGCACTCAGGCATGCATCGCATTATTCTTAGGTGCATCGCACTCAGGCATGCATCGCATTATTCTTAGGTGCATCGCACTCAGGCATGCATCGCATTATTCTTAGGTGCATCGCACTCAGGCATGCATCGCATTATTCTTAGGTGCATCGCACTCAGGCATGCATCGCATTATTCTTAGGTGCATCGCACTCAGGCATGCATCGCATTATTCTTAGGTGCATCGCACTCAGGCATGCATCGCATTATTCTTAGGTGCATCGCACTCAGGCATGCATCGCATTATTCTTAGGTGCATCGCACTCAGGCATGCATCGCATTATTCTTAGGTGCATCGCACTCAGGCATGCATCGCATTATTCTTAGGTGCATCGCACTCAGGCATGCATCGCATTATTCTTAGGTGCATCGCACTCAGGCATGCATCGCATTATTCTTAGGTGCATCGCACTCAGGCATGCATCGCATTATTCTTAGGTGCATCGCACTCAGGCATGCATCGCATTATTCTTAGGTGCATCGCACTCAGGCATGCATCGCATTATTCTTAGGTGCATCGCACTCAGGCATGCATCGCATTATTCTTAGGTGCATCGCACTCAGGCATGCATCGCATTATTCTTAGGTGCATCGCACTCAGGCATGCATCGCATTATTCTTAGGTGCATCGCACTCAGGCATGCATCGCATTATTCTTAGGTGCATCGCACTCAGGCATGCATCGCATTATTCTTAGGTGCATCGCACTCAGGCATGCATCGCATTATTCTTAGGTGCATCGCACTCAGGCATGCATCGCATTATTCTTAGGTGCATCGCACTCAGGCATGCATCGCATTATTCTTAGGTGCATCGCACTCAGGCATGCATCGCATTATTCTTAGGTGCATCGCACTCAGGCATGCATCGCATTATTCTTAGGTGCATCGCACTCAGGCATGCATCGCATTATTCTTAGGTGCATCGCACTCAGGCATGCATCGCATTATTCTTAGGTGCATCGCACTCAGGCATGCATCGCATTATTCTTAGGTGCATCGCACTCAGGCATGCATCGCATTATTCTTAGGTGCATCGCACTCAGGCATGCATCGCATTATTCTTAGGTGCATCGCACTCAGGCATGCATCGCATTATTCTTAGGTGCATCGCACTCAGGCATGCATCGCATTATTCTTAGGTGCATCGCACTCAGGCATGCATCGCATTATTCTTAGGTGCATCGCACTCAGGCATGCATCGCATTATTCTTAGGTGCATCGCACTCAGGCATGCATCGCATTATTCTTAGGTGCATCGCACTCAGGCATGCATCGCATTATTCTTAGGTGCATCGCACTCAGGCATGCATCGCATTATTCTTAGGTGCATCGCACTCAGGCATGCATCGCATTATTCTTAGGTGCATCGCACTCAGGCATGCATCGCATTATTCTTAGGTGCATCGCACTCAGGCATGCATCGCATTATTCTTAGGTGCATCGCACTCAGGCATGCATCGCATTATTCTTAGGTGCATCGCACTCAGGCATGCATCGCATTATTCTTAGGTGCATCGCACTCAGGCATGCATCGCATTATTCTTAGGTGCATCGCACTCAGGCATGCATCGCATTATTCTTAGGTGCATCGCACTCAGGCATGCATCGCATTATTCTTAGGTGCATCGCACTCAGGCATGCATCGCATTATTCTTAGGTGCATCGCACTCAGGCATGCATCGCATTATTCTTAGGTGCATCGCACTCAGGCATGCATCGCATTATTCTTAGGTGCATCGCACTCAGGCATGCATCGCATTATTCTTAGGTGCATCGCACTCAGGCATGCATCGCATTATTCTTAGGTGCATCGCACTCAGGCATGCATCGCATTATTCTTAGGTGCATCGCACTCAGGCATGCATCGCATTATTCTTAGGTGCATCGCACTCAGGCATGCATCGCATTATTCTTAGGTGCATCGCACTCAGGCATGCATCGCATTATTCTTAGGTGCATCGCACTCAGGCATGCATCGCATTATTCTTAGGTGCATCGCACTCAGGCATGCATCGCATTATTCTTAGGTGCATCGCACTCAGGCATGCATCGCATTATTCTTAGGTGCATCGCACTCAGGCATGCATCGCATTATTCTTAGGTGCATCGCACTCAGGCATGCATCGCATTATTCTTAGGTGCATCGCACTCAGGCATGCATCGCATTATTCTTAGGTGCATCGCACTCAGGCATGCATCGCATTATTCTTAGGTGCATCGCACTCAGGCATGCATCGCATTATTCTTAGGTGCATCGCACTCAGGCATGCATCGCATTATTCTTAGGTGCATCGCACTCAGGCATGCATCGCATTATTCTTAGGTGCATCGCACTCAGGCATGCATCGCATTATTCTTAGGTGCATCGCACTCAGGCATGCATCGCATTATTCTTAGGTGCATCGCACTCAGGCATGCATCGCATTATTCTTAGGTGCATCGCACTCAGGCATGCATCGCATTATTCTTAGGTGCATCGCACTCAGGCATGCATCGCATTATTCTTAGGTGCATCGCACTCAGGCATGCATCGCATTATTCTTAGGTGCATCGCACTCAGGCATGCATCGCATTATTCTTAGGTGCATCGCACTCAGGCATGCATCGCATTATTCTTAGGTGCATCGCACTCAGGCATGCATCGCATTATTCTTAGGTGCATCGCACTCAGGCATGCATCGCATTATTCTTAGGTGCATCGCACTCAGGCATGCATCGCATTATTCTTAGGTGCATCGCACTCAGGCATGCATCGCATTATTCTTAGGTGCATCGCACTCAGGCATGCATCGCATTATTCTTAGGTGCATCGCACTCAGGCATGCATCGCATTATTCTTAGGTGCATCGCACTCAGGCATGCATCGCATTATTCTTAGGTGCATCGCACTCAGGCATGCATCGCATTATTCTTAGGTGCATCGCACTCAGGCATGCATCGCATTATTCTTAGGTGCATCGCACTCAGGCATGCATCGCATTATTCTTAGGTGCATCGCACTCAGGCATGCATCGCATTATTCTTAGGTGCATCGCACTCAGGCATGCATCGCATTATTCTTAGGTGCATCGCACTCAGGCATGCATCGCATTATTCTTAGGTGCATCGCACTCAGGCATGCATCGCATTATTCTTAGGTGCATCGCACTCAGGCATGCATCGCATTATTCTTAGGTGCATCGCACTCAGGCATGCATCGCATTATTCTTAGGTGCATCGCACTCAGGCATGCATCGCATTATTCTTAGGTGCATCGCACTCAGGCATGCATCGCATTATTCTTAGGTGCATCGCACTCAGGCATGCATCGCATTATTCTTAGGTGCATCGCACTCAGGCATGCATCGCATTATTCTTAGGTGCATCGCACTCAGGCATGCATCGCATTATTCTTAGGTGCATCGCACTCAGGCATGCATCGCATTATTCTTAGGTGCATCGCACTCAGGCATGCATCGCATTATTCTTAGGTGCATCGCACTCAGGCATGCATCGCATTATTCTTAGGTGCATCGCACTCAGGCATGCATCGCATTATTCTTAGGTGCATCGCACTCAGGCATGCATCGCATTATTCTTAGGTGCATCGCACTCAGGCATGCATCGCATTATTCTTAGGTGCATCGCACTCAGGCATGCATCGCATTATTCTTAGGTGCATCGCACTCAGGCATGCATCGCATTATTCTTAGGTGCATCGCACTCAGGCATGCATCGCATTATTCTTAGGTGCATCGCACTCAGGCATGCATCGCATTATTCTTAGGTGCATCGCACTCAGGCATGCATCGCATTATTCTTAGGTGCATCGCACTCAGGCATGCATCGCATTATTCTTAGGTGCATCGCACTCAGGCATGCATCGCATTATTCTTAGGTGCATCGCACTCAGGCATGCATCGCATTATTCTTAGGTGCATCGCACTCAGGCATGCATCGCATTATTCTTAGGTGCATCGCACTCAGGCATGCATCGCATTATTCTTAGGTGCATCGCACTCAGGCATGCATCGCATTATTCTTAGGTGCATCGCACTCAGGCATGCATCGCATTATTCTTAGGTGCATCGCACTCAGGCATGCATCGCATTATTCTTAGGTGCATCGCACTCAGGCATGCATCGCATTATTCTTAGGTGCATCGCACTCAGGCATGCATCGCATTATTCTTAGGTGCATCGCACTCAGGCATGCATCGCATTATTCTTAGGTGCATCGCACTCAGGCATGCATCGCATTATTCTTAGGTGCATCGCACTCAGGCATGCATCGCATTATTCTTAGGTGCATCGCACTCAGGCATGCATCGCATTATTCTTAGGTGCATCGCACTCAGGCATGCATCGCATTATTCTTAGGTGCATCGCACTCAGGCATGCATCGCATTATTCTTAGGTGCATCGCACTCAGGCATGCATCGCATTATTCTTCCTTTCAGCCCCACCCTCTCAGGAGAATTCTCATGTGTGTTCATAGGTGCTGCTACGCTTTCAAACAGTCACATAGTCCCTACGTTATTTCTCTCTCTCAACCCACCGTCCCTGCCCTCTAGCCTCGGGTACTCACGTACGGCATTGCCGAACGAAAGCTCTTATGCTCACATGCAGAGCTGATACTCTATGCGATCCCTCCCTGCCGCACCCCTCCCATCACCCCCTTTTTTTCCTTCAAACCCACCCTGCCGCCGTGCCTGACCTCCAGCCTCGGGTGCTTACGTACGGGATCGCCGGAGCTGTGATCTTCCGAGCCATCATGATAGGTCTGGGCATCGCGGCAATTCAAGCATTCGAGGCAGTGAATCTCCTTTTTGCAGCTGTGCTCATCTTCTCCTCGTACAAGGTGCGAACGAGGGTGGTACGGTGGTACCAGGGTTGATTTCTGCCAAGGGTGGTTGGGGGTGGGCGTGGGCGCTTCATATATGGGAGGACGAGGATGACGACGTGTGATGAGACGATTTTTGTTGTGAGTCGACTCAAAACGAGGATGACGACGCGTGAGAGACGATTTTTGTTGTGAGTCGACTCAAAAATCGTCTCATCACACGCGGGTGGGCGCTTCGTGTGTGGAAGGACGAGGATGACGACCTTTTCACCAAACTCAATTCCTCCCTTCCTTCCTCCCTGCCTGCCTCCCTTCCTCCCTTCCTTCCTCCCTGCCTGCCTCCCTTCCTCCCTTCCTTCCTTCCTTCCTCCCTTCCTTACTTCCTGCCTGCCTGCCTGCCTGCCTGCCTGCCTGCCTGCCTGCCTGCCTGCCTGCCTGCCTGCCTGCCTGCCTGCCTGCCTGCCTGCCTGCCTGCCTGCCTGCCTGCCTGCCTGCCTGCCTGCCTGCCTGCATGCCTGCCTGCCTGGCTGCCATCCCCAGCTCCTAGCAGAGGCAGAGGACGAGGATGACGACCTCTTCAACAAACTCAATTCCTCAATTCCTCCCTCCCATCCCAACCCCCCTCCCCCTCACCAGCTACTAGCAGAGGCAGGGGATGAAGACGACGATCTCTCCACCAACTCAATTCCCCCCTTCCTTCCTTCCCCACTGCCTCCCTCTCTTCTCCCCTCCTCCCCACTTCCCCAGCTACTGGCAGAGGCAGAGGACGAGAGTGACGATCTCTCCAACAACTCTGTTGTCAAATTCTGCCCTTGTTGCCCAACCCCTCGCTAGGCTTATGTCAAACCCTGCATCTGCCTGTTACGCCTTCCCCTTCCCTTCCCAGCTACTAGCAGAGGCAGAGGACGAGGACGATGACCTCTCCAACAACTCCGTCGTCAAGTTCTGCCAAAAGCTCATCCCTATAACGGGTACGCCTTTTCTTTTTATGATTTTCTTTCCGTTTTTTTATCCTTCTGGGTTTGAAGGATTCGGGTTTAGGGTTCAGCCATTGAAGTTCAGCAGTCATTGGTTGTTATTTGTACAGATCACTACGACGGTAACCAGTTCTACTCTTTGGAATTCACAAAGTGACTCCACCATCCCTCCTCCCCCCCCAACCACCCTCCCCCACCATCCACCACCCCCCCCCCCCCCCCCCCCCTTTCACTTTTCTATGTACAGATCACTAAAACAGATCACAAGTTCTACCCTTTGGAATTCACAAAACCGACTCAACCATCCCTCCCCCCCACCATCCACCCCCCCTTTCACTTTTCTATGCACAGATTACTACGATGGTAACAAGTTTTACACCACAACAGCTGCAGGCGTGCAAATAGTCAGTACACAATGAACCTTTGTTTTGTTTTGTTTTGTTTGTTTGTTTGATATTTCTTCCCCTGGCCACTGCGTGACCCTTTTGACCCTGATGTATACATTCCCATTTTCCCTCTCCCATCCCTGCATGCCTACTCTCACGCTCTGCATTTCCGCTCTTTCTCTCTGCTTTTACTTTCACTTGCTGATCCCTTTCGTTGTTGTGTCAACACCCACCCCCTCCCCGTCACCTGCTTCCCCTACCTCTCAATACATTAGGCCACTCCTCCCCTCCTCACTCTGTGCATTCTTTCCCCCATCCACCCTCCTCTCCCCACCCCCTCCCCCCAACCCATTGCCCCACCACCCAACATATCAGGCCACTCCCCTCCTCCTCACTCTAGCCGTCGTCGAGCTCTCGGACATTGTATTTGCGGTGAGTACTGCGACTTGGTCACCTGTCTGTATTCCACCCCCACTCCTGCCAACTCCCCCTCATTTCTTTCCACTCCTCTCCTCCTCACTCTACCTGTCTTCGAGCTCTCAGACATTGTATTCGCGGTGAGTGCCGCCCTCTTCGTCTCCCCTCCCCCCCTCTCCTCGTCTCTCATCCCTCTTCGCAGTTTTCTCCCTTGACCTATCACTTCGTGCCTCTTTGCCCCATCCCATCCCATCCCATCCCATCCCATCCCATCCCATCCCATCCCATCCCATCCCATCCCATCCCATCCCATCCTATCCCATCAGTTTGACTCCATCCCAGCAATCTTTGGCATCCCTAACAACCCTCTCTTTTCAAAGTCTCCCTCTCTAGCAACCCTCTCTTTGCACCATCTCTTCTTCATGTCTCTCCCGTGTTCTTTGCCTGTTTGCCTCGTTTGCCTATCCCATGCCAACCCATTCCCATCCCACCCCACCACATACCACCTCATCAGTTTGACTCCATCCAGTGTTTGCTGTCACTCGCAACCCCTTCATCGTATTCATCATCCTTTTCCATCCTTTTCCATCCTTTTCCATCCTTTTCCATCCTTTTCCATCATTTTCCATCCTTTTCCATCCTTTTCCATCCTTTTCCATCCTTTTCCATCCTTTTCCATCCTTTTCCATCCTTTCCCATCCTTTCCCATCCTTTCCCATCCTTTTCCATCCTTTTCCATCCGTTTCCATCCTTTTCCATCCCTTGTCACCCCCTCAATTCAGTTTGACTCCATCCCAGCAGTCGTTGCGTCACTTGCAACCCCTTCATCGTCTTCTCTTCCAACATCTTTGGCCATCCTTTTCGACCCTTTTCCACCCTTCTCCATCCCTTCCCACCCCACCCCATCCCATCCCACCCCACCTCATCCCACCGCTTCAGTTTTACTCCATCCCAGCGGTCTTTGGAGTCACTCGCGATCCCTTCATCGTCTTCACGTCCAACATCTTTGGCCCATCCCTGTCCATCCCTTCCCTCCCCATTCCACCCCATTCCACCGCATCCCACCCCTTCCCATCAGTTTGACTCCATCCCAGCAGTCTTTGGCGTCACTCGCGATCCCTTCATCGTCTTCACATCCAACATCTTTGCTATTCTCGGTACAGTCACCACCGCTTACTATTTCTCTTGTTGGAACTTTGCACTGTTGATGCCAGTGCTCCTTCATCATATTCACAATTAACATCTTTGCTATTCACCACTATTCCCTATCATATCTTTTGGATATTGTCGTGGTTGGTTTTAAGTAACCCCTTCATATTCTTCACATCCAATATCTTTGCCATTCTCAGCACAGTCACCACTGCTTACTGTTGCAGTCACTGGGTGTTGTCATCACTTAAAAAAAAAAAAAAAAAAAAAAACAAAAACAAAAACTTTGTCGCTTTCAAACCTCGTTCTCGACCCTTGGTTGATTAAATTGCCTTCCTCCCGGGATTCTCAACAACATGGCATGGCTCTACATGGCATCAAATCTCATGGAACGACATCCCATCTCATCCCATGCCCCCACCAGGTCTGCGGTCACTATTCACAGTCATCGCCACCAGCATGGCGGATCTGCACTACCTACAGCCACAAGAGGACCTCCTTTCACTCACTTCCCTTTTCTTCTCCTCCTACTATCTTCACTCCCATCCCCTTCAGGTCTACGCTCGCTCTTCACAGTCATCGCCACCAGCATGGCCGATCCGAATCTGCACTACCTTCAGCTACAACTGGACCTCCGTCCTCATTTCTAACTCCTTCCATCCCATCCCATCCCATCCCATCCCATCCCATCCCATCCCATTCCACCGCACTCCACACCCCATCAGGCCTTCAGCTACAACTGGCCCTCCTTCCTCATCTCTAACTCCTTCCATCCCATCCCATCCCATCCCATTTCACGGCACTCCACACCCCATCAGGCCTAAGATCGCTCTTCACAGTCATCGCCACCAGTATGGCGGATCTGCACTACTTACAGCCAGCAATAGCGGTCGTGCTCGGCTTTATTGGCTCAAAAATTCTAGCCGAGTTTTGCGGTGAGTCATCCCTGCCCTTCCATCCCACATGACAACACTATGCAACCAGCATGGCGGATCTGCACTACCTGCAGCCGGCCATCGCAGTCGTTCTCGGGTTCATCGGCTCAAAGATCCTGGCGGAGTCTTGTGGTGAGTGTTGAGAGCCAGTTTCTGGCTGAGTAGATTCTGCATTGAAGCAATGCAAGAGACACTCTGATCTGCACTACCTACAACCGGCCGGCCATCGCCGTGGTGCTCGGGCTCATCGGCTCCAAGATCCTGGCAGAGTTCTGCGGTGAGTTTCTAAGCTGCCACTGTATGACATGCCATCACACGGCATGCACCGATCGGCACTACCTACAACCGGCCGGCCGTGCTCGGATTCATCGGTTCCAAGATCCTAGCAGAGTTCTGCGGTGAGTCATCTAGTTTTGAGACGTCTCAAAACAAGATCGTAGCAGAGTTCTGCGGTGACGCATCTCTTGTTGAAACGACGCTGGGTCGAGGCAGTCGAGGCGGGTTCATCAGCTCAAAGATTTTAGCAGAGTTCTGTCATTGTATGACATGGCATCATTCTTGGGCATCAATCATGCCATCACATGCCATGCACACCATCACATGCCATGCTCCGACCCGCTCTACCTGCAGCCGTCCATGCTTGTCGTGCTCAAGAGTACCTTCCCTTCCCTCTCTCTCTCTCCCTTCCCCTCTGCACTGCCAGGCCTGCACGTACCAACGGAAGTTTCTCTAGGGGTGGTGGTGTCGCTGCTGGCAGGAGGGGAGCATTTTCAGCCTTTGGCTTGCCCTCCTTTTCTCTCCCTCTCATTCTCTCTGTCTCTCCCCTTCCCCTCTGCACTTCCAGGCCTGCACGTACCAACAGAGGTTTCCCTAGGGGTGGTAGCATCACTGCTGGCAGGAGGGGTGTTCTTCAGCCTCAGATTCCCTCTCACAGAGGGAGATGATAAAGAAGGGTTGTAGATATGCACATTATTTGATGTAGCCTACCATATCATTTATACGGTACTGTTGCGGGGAAGGAAAGGAATTGTTCTGTACAAGATGCAATTTGCTGTAAGCAGTCATACCGTACAAGCAATCTGACAACAGCAATGATGAGTTGAAACAACTGATTCTGCTCTGCACACAAAATAGAAAAGTACGGTAGCCCTCAGCACCAAATGGTTTCTCCTGTCTCTACATGTCCAAATGCTTCTTTCTGGTAGTACGGTATTTGTGAGTAGGGTTTCAAGCTATTTTTCAAACCACAAAGCTCTCCACTTTGTTAATTTACCAACTTCCTGGGAATCAACTCTTTTCCACACTTCATCTAAAAGTTCCCACTTAGCCACTGCTCAACCCCACTTGTTCTATTGGTGTTAATTCAGGCTGTACCATCATACACTAGACGTTTTTCATCCAAAATTTGTTAGTCATTAATGGGTCCTACAAAGAATGTACAAAACAGGGCGAGAACACCCACCCGAGGTTCCTAAAATATACGTGGCAAACGCGGTGAAGCAGACCTAAAATACGACCTACCGTAATACGCTAAGCTAGTTCCGCGAGGATAGTAACTCCTCCGTTTTGCTGCCGAGGCGCGGCGAGCCAACGCAAGGGAAAAATCCAATGGAACGAATTTCTGGGGTTTCGCGTGACTGTAGCCAATGAAAGAACGTTACTGCTGAATCTCCTCAGGCTGTTCAAACCAATCCCCAGACCCTTTGGCGGATAAGGTCGCGTTCCCACTGCGCCACGTCAGTGAAGGCGAAATCGGGCAGATGCTCGAATTGCGGTTGGTACGGACTGTTCTTGGCCAAATCGTACGTCGCGCCCCGAATCGCGTCCTTCTTGGGGCCGCATGGTCGGAGAGATGTAACGTGCTCGTACGCCGCGTTCAGGTCCCTCTTGGGTTCGGAGAACCAGAAAAGATACGCGATAACAGCAGCAGGCGAACGCCCCAAACCCGCGGTACAGTGCACGTATACAGTTTTCCCTTCCGCTACAGCTTTCGCAATAACCGCAACCATTCGGGGAAGTTCGCGTCTGAGTGAGTTGGGGTCAAAATCGACTGCCGGCCGCCGGTGGTGCTCCACCCCCACTTCCTTACACCTCTTCACAATACCTCCAATATCCACACCCCAGTAGCTGATATCATGATCTTGTTGGAGATTAAGAATCACTTTCACGCCTTCGTCCTTCTGCAATCGGTCGATGTCAGCGGGAGTTTGCGGTTGCGAGCCGACGATTATGTTTTTGTGTACGCGTGTGTAGTAGATACCGAGCTCGTGGTGGTACTCGTACGGGTTGGCCATCTGGCGTTTCATCATCTCGTTGTAATCGAACGACGACGGTACGGACAGCTGCTGCAGTTGCTGCGCGTCCTTCTCGAGAACAGCGGGAGCCTGGCATCGTACGGCGCGAGATGAAACGGCGGAACGAACTGAGACGTCAACGCGAGCTGCGGGAAACGACACGCGGAGTGACGAAATGCTCTTTTCCGATGCTTTTTGTGGCCGAAGAGCGGCAGAAGATCCGCTGAAGGCTCTCGGTACAGAAGGGCAGGTCGCTAGTGCAGTTGCCATGGGTGAAGCTGTATGTACACAAAAATAAGACTAGTTATGAGGAGAGTCTGATCTGTACACTTCACTATCGCAACTTCAGATTACTGTCTCTGAGAATCTGGAGGACTGAAACAAACGACGGAAACGTAGTACTCTGAAATGGAGAAAAACAAACGCAGTTTAGAATGACGATTGCTGTTTGAGCTTTGAGCGTTGGTCGTCGAAATGCATATTTGAGTTGAGCACGAAAGGCTGATGAGAAATGAACCAAAACTGAGTCCTATTTCTACTTCTTCAGAAGGGATAAGTCACAGGGGAGTGAGTTGGGTGGGGTGGTCGGGGGTGGGGTGGGGGGGAAAGAAAGGTGGTGTTGTGCCGTGCGGTGGTGGGTCGGTTGGTTGATTGGTGGGGGGAACGAATCGGTGGCGGCTGGTGGTGGGCCTCGATTGAATGGCAGAAAGGCGGTGGTGTTGGTGGGGTGTGCGGGTGTGAGGGGGGGGGGGGGGGGGGGGGGGGTGGGTTGGGGGAGGAGAAAGGGGGAACGGTGGTGTGCTGCGCTGTGCCCCGCCCCTGACGCGCGTCCGTTATCCACGGACGGATAGGGTTGCCCTTTCTCACGAAACAGACATGGCAACGGGCAGGGTTGTGAAAGTCTGAATCTGGAATTATCTAGAGCACCCTCGAAATGACTGTGTATTTGCACGGTGCCGGGGGATATATTGCATTGTCCACAATATCAAATGTGACAGAAAATGATTAAAAGTGGCCATCTTCGTGGAGGTCCTGACAATCCTGCTCGCATATGACATGGATTTTCAGTCAATGTGCTCCGACAATTAATCAAATTTCTACCCCTCAGAATTCAGGGAGTGAAGGTCAGCAGAGAGGACGAGGCGGCTCGACGACTTGCCGTGCCGTGCCGCTGTCCTGCCCCTGAGCCAGAAAGGTTGGTGGAAATTCGTGATTCGTGCGCTTGCTGATGGCGAAGCAGTGTTGTGTGCGAGGTTTCGTTTCGGGTGAAGGGTGTGGGTGGGCCTCCCGCACCAGTCCCATCCATACCAGGGAGGCCCTTCAGTTGCGTGAAGCGACGAACATCGCCTCAGTTCCAAGAACAAAGGGGCGGGGGAAAGAACAGCGGGACGAGAGGACCACTGCCACCTGGCGCTGCAATAAACGCACGACTGGTCGACGAGTGGTCGTCGTGGAAAGAACGATGGCGGTGCGCTGCGCACTTGCGACTCGTTCGTTCTCAGTCGTTTTCGTCACCTTCCGTACTGGTAGGTGGGGCAAGCACTGAGCGGGTCCACACAGTGCTGCAGAAGGGGGATGATTGGCAAGTGCGGCTCGACGGGTAGGTTGGTTGCGTGCAAGTCAGAGCAATTTCTTGCCCAGCTGGAATCAGGAAAACACGGCTTGGTGTTGACGACGTGCTCCGAGCTGCCGGGTTGACGGTGCGGCACCGCGCTGGCGGCGAGGAGAATCCCAAAGCCGAAATCAGGTGGATTTTTTTTTTTTTTTTTTCGTTTGAGCAATGCGCGACCAAAATAGAGTTGGTGAGGAATCTCATCTCAATCAGGCCACCAGGTGTGTGTTTGAGATACGAAACCTTGTGTATCTGCCCGAAATACTAAATTCCTCATTTTTGTGAATTTCCACCAATCATTGGCAGGACAACTACGTGTGGGGCACGGACTGATGCACTCCCCTCCATCCAATGGTCAATCCTGTCTATCACCACTTGATACTGTACAGTTGTGATTGTCAGCGAACACTGGCACACAGTTCTGTTGTTTCAACCGAAACCGCGTCGCCACCGTCAATCTTATCCACTTTGGTCGCCCTCATGCCAGGGGGATCGGCTCAGGTTGGGTGTCGGGCGTTTCTCTCAACGTTTGTTTTCACGGCAGTTCAAAACCGTTCTGAATTCCATTTGAACGTTGTGGAACGCACAGACCTCCCTGAACATTCGAATCGCCTTCACCGGCACGGCAAACGGAACGCGGTGCAAAGATTTGAGAAAATCTGGCAGTTTCTCGATCAATCCAGCAGATTTCCGGGACTGGGAACAACAATCAGGGTCTAGGCTCAGGAGGTTCTGCGTGACATCCACTAAAATAACGAAAATGATCTGTCAGGTGGCGCCAAAATGTTGATAAAAAATGGGAGGGAACACCCCTCCATGACTGTTCAACGTTCTTCCATCCATCAGTCATAACAGGTGAGCCTCGCGGAAACAAATAAATTGCGATGCGGAAGGATATTGTAACAAATGGGAAACAGAAAATATATATTCTTATACTACGATTTGACCATTCACATCCAAACATTATCTACAATTGCAGCAACATTATAGGAAGAATGCTGCGCCATAAAGCAAGCCGAATACCTATAAATACTAGGTGTTAGCACTACCGGCAATGGCAGGATCACCACTTGCACTGCTGCTCCCAACGGCACCTTCACCCACACGACCACTGGCCCCAGCACCATCACCCCTTCCCCCATCTTCCTCCCTCCTCTCCTCACCTTCCCTCCTCTCATCCTCACCACTCCCCCCACTTCCCCTTCTCACCCCTCCGCTCCCCCCGGCCTCACCACTTCCCTCCCCCACTTCGCCCCCCTCCCTCCCCACTCCTTGACTCCCCTCCCCTCTCCTCTCCAAATCCCCCTCTCTCTCCCCCTCCTCCCCCAGGGAGGGGGGAGAAGGGCGGTCCTCCCCTTCCCCCAGGGAGGGGGAGAAGAGTGGCGCACTGCCCTGCAGCACGAGGCGCATGGTGGGGTCCTGCATGGCTGACGTCACCCTCCTGTCCAGATCCCCCAGCCTCCGGCTCAACGCCACAAACTGCTGCTGCATCTGGTAGGGGGGGGGAGAGGGGAGGGGGGGGGTATCATAAAGCAGGGGAGGGGAGAGAAGGTGGTACATATGATGGGGGGACTCGCCTTCCTGTCCAGCTAGCCTAGCCTCCAGCTCAGAGCCGCAAACTGCTGCTGCATCTGGTAGAGGGGGGTGGGAGTGAAGCGGGTGGGGGCAGTGGAGGAGGGAGGATAAGGGGGAACGTCAAAGGCGGTAAGAGGGAGAAGAGGGAAGAGGGTAGGGAGGGGATGCTGACATTGCTCTCCTCTCTCCACATCTCTCCTCTCTAATGTCCAGATCTCCCAGCCGCTGGCTCCGATCCGCAAACTGCTGCTGCTGCTGGGGGACGGGGGTGGGTGTGAAGGGGGCGGGAGTGAAGGGGGCGGGAGTGAAGGGGGCGGGGCAAGAAAGGATGGGGGAGAGCGGGGAGTTTAGGATTCGGCCCCTTTGGTACAGGGGGTACACCATACCCCCCTGCCTCGGGTTCAGACCTGCTTCGAATCTGTTTTTGAGTCGACTCAAAGAAAGGATGGGGGAGAACGGGGAGTTTAGGATACGGCCCCTTCGGTACTGCAGCCCGCAATCACCGCCACTGCAGCCCCTTCGGCCCCTTTGGTACAGGGGGTACACCATATCCCCCTGCATCAGGTACAGAGCTGCTTCGAATCTGGTTTTGAGTCGACTCAAAACAGGATACGGCCCCTTTGGTACAGGGGGTACACCATACCCCCCTGCATCAGGTACAGAGCTGCTTCGAATCTGGTTTTGAGTCGACTCAAAACAGGATACGGCCCCTTTGGTACAGGGGGTACACCATATCCCCCTGCATCAGGTACAGAGCTGCTTCGAATCTGGTTTTGAGTCGACTCAAAACAGGATACGGCCCCTTTGGTACAGGGGGTACACCATATCCCCCTGCATCAGGTACAGAGCTGCTTCGAATCTGGTTTTGAGTCGACTCAAAACAGGATACGGCCCCTTTGGTACAGGGGGTACACCATACCCCCCTGCATCAGGTACAGAGCTGCTTCGAATCTGGTTTTGAGTCGACTCAAAACAGGATACGGCCCCTTTGGTACAGGGGGTACACCATATCCCCCTGCATCAGGTACAGAGCTGCTTCGAATCTGGTTTTGAGTCGACTCAAAACAGGATACGGCCCCTTTGGTACAGGGGGTACACCATATCCCCCTGCATCAGGTACAGAGCTGCTTCGAATCTGGTTTTGAGTCGACTCAAAACAGGATACGGCCCCTTTGGTACAGGGGGTACACCATATCCCCCTGCATCAGGTACAGAGCTGCTTCGAATCTGGTTTTGAGTCGACTCAAAACAGGATACGGCCCCTTTGGTACAGGGGGTACACCATACCCCCCTGCCTCAGATTTGAGCCCACTCACTTTTGAGTCGACTTCTGAGTCACACGGCACTCAGGCATGACAAGTGGGCGAGTCACAAGGCTCACACGAAGCATTGCTATCACATACCTGCTCCATTGACGAGTTGGTCATGGCATGGCTCTGGCCAAGACAAGGCACAGAGTATGGAATCAAGTGCACTCTCTCACAGCACTCACTCTCACAAGGCACTCACTCTCAAGCCACATACCTGCTCCATTGACGAGTTGGTTCGCTCCACACTGGCTGACGACACGAACGGGCGCCGGGAATCAGGTGCACTCTTACAAGACCAGCGATCCCTTTTTTAGGTTGACGGTTTCACTTTGTCAGAGTTCGATGTAAGGCTAAGACACCTACCACAGCCTAGGCTCTTAGCGCCAGCCCTAAGCTTTCCTTGAACTCTAACTATTTGGGGTGGCGAAACCTCTTTCTCCTATCCTAGACTAGTTTAGGTTTGGCGCCATCAACATTTGTTGTTTGCTACTGCATTCATACAATCACAAACGCCCACCAGGTCTAACACTGCCACCAGGAACGCCAAAATCCACTAAACTGGTTGATGTGATTATGGCGAAGGCTGCTGAAAATGCGAGCACGAACATGCATTCACAAGCCACTCACAAGCCACTCACGTGCGCCACGGACGAGTTAGTCTGCGCCACGCTGGCTGACGACACTCCCACAAGGCAGGCACAGGCGTACTCTTACAAGGGAGGCACAGGCGTACTCTTACAAGGGAGGCACAGGCGTACTCTTACAAGGCAGGCACAGGCGTGAGCACACGTGTGCCATGGACGAGTTGGTTTGTGCCACGCTGGCTGATGACACGGCTTGCAGCTACTCGATGCTGCCGTGAATGGCACGAGAGAGCATGGAGGGATGAGGCACCAGTTACCTGCCCACCGGTTACCTGCCCACCGGTTACCTGCTCCATTGAAGAGTTGGTCTGCGCCACGCTGGCTGATGACATGGCTCGCAGCTCCTCGATCTTGCCGTGAATGACATGGGATGAGATGAGAGCACGCATGGAGAGCATGGGGGCAGTGACATGGGAAGCACGTACCTGCTTTGAGACGTCTCAAAACACTTCTTCAATCACGAAGCACGTACCTGCTTTGAGACGTCTCAAAACACTTCTTCAATCACGAAGCACGTACCTGCTCCATGGACGAGTTGGTCTGCGCCACACTGGCTGAGGACACGGCTCGCAGCTCCTCGATCTTGCCCCTCAGCTCGAGATCCATGCCCCCCCCTGCCTGCTCCATCTGGAGACACGAAGGGGGGAGGGGAGCAAGGGGAGGAGGGGAGGGGGGGAGAGGGATGAGAGGGGACGGTGGTGTGGATGATGGCTCCTCGATCTTGCCTCCCAGCTCGAGTTCCGTGGCCACCCTGCCAGCTCCATATGGAACAAAGAGGGGAGAAGGATGGAAGGGGAATGAGAGGGGACGGTGGTGTGGATGGCAGCTCCTCGATCTTGCCTTCCAGTTTTGAGTCGACTCAAAACATGAGAGGGGACGGTGGTGTGGATGGCAGCTCCTCGATCTTGCCTTCCAGTTTTGAGTCGACTCAAAACATGAGAGGGGACGGTGGTGTGGATGGCAGCTCCTCGATCTTGCCTTCCAACTCGAGGTCCGTGCCCCGCCCGCCTGCCTGCCTGCTCCATCTGGAGAAAAAGAGGAGGGAGGAGGTGGGAAGGGGATGTGAGGAGAGAGGAGAGGAGCGAAGGGGGATGAGAGGGGAGGGATGGTAGCTCCTCGATCTTGCCTTGCCTCTCAACAGAGCAAGGCCTTTCAGAGGAGGGTGCTGTCATTTTTTTTTTAGACGTCTCAAACAACGGCCCCTCTGAAGAGCCTAGCTTCGAGCTTCTTCTGAACAGAGCAAGACCTTTCAGAGGAGACTCTTAGCGGTTTGTATACGAGCATTGCCATTCGTGTGAATTTGGACGGAGACGGAGACCTCGTCCATTCCTGTCGAACGCCGTCTTCGTTTACGCTTGAGAAAAACACGTGAAGCACACGCTTCGGCCTTCTCGAGCTTGCAAAACACGCGAAGGCCGTGCGTGACGCCCCCGTACATAGTAAACGTTTGGCTTGTTTAACGTTTGAACGCTCATTTCAATAACGATCGCCGCCAGGATATCGAACACTTCGACGAACCGTTTATCCCGATATAACGCTCAATTCGATACAAGGCTCACATCGTTAACGATCGCCGCCAGGAAATCGAACACCTCCGCGCCGTCGTCGCTGCCGGCCGCGGGCCCCCGCGATCCCCCTGCTGCCGGCCGACCCATCGCGCGGAAAACGCGGACACCGAAAACTAAATGCGGGAGCAAATATCGAGTACTACTACTTCGGGAAGCAAATGCGGAAGGGCTTTGTAGAGGCTAGACTCCCTTTCCTGCTAATGGTTCTTGTAAATAGGGCCGCGCGACCCTTCAGAGTGTCGTATGGGTCAAGCTTACACAGTTCATGTATCACGGTTCAGGCTGGTGAGTAGCGTTTTAAAACGGTCACGCGAACAAACCGCTTAGAGGGCACAACATCGTACTCAACCGTTCTTACTGAACAGAAATTGGGCTAAGGGCGTGAAAATCGGGAACTCAAAAAAATCGGCCACAATCCGTCGGGCCGTTTCTGTGAAGGTAACCAGCCAGCGATAGTCGTAAGTCTAGTGGCGACAGTCGCAAATTTCGCAAAAACAAAAACGAATTTGATGGCCGCTTAAAAAGTCGACACGAAAACGACGCTGAGTCGACACCAAAACGGCCAAGTAGTCGACACAGTGTGCGACAAACGCCTACGACGTCGCACGGTATCGCCGAACGACAGATTTTTTGATATCGTCAAAATGAGAAATATCGCTGTTAAATGTGCGACCCCGTCGCACACCCAACTACTGTAGTAACTCCAAATTTTACAACTTTTCCGAACCGGCCTGCAAATTGGCCACCAAAGTTGTAAAATCCGCAAACCTGCAAATGGTGGCTGAAAATTGGACGACTCGAATTCGGCCACCAAGTCGACTTTCGCGAAAGAAATGTCGACCACATGGTCGACGAAAATTCGGCCAAACCCCGATTTCGCACTTGCACGGGGATTTTACACGCCCTAAGTTTTTTTTTCAGTAATTGGCCTCTGTCAGTAAAATGAAGAGTTTTTTTTCAAATGAGTACAAACGATCTTCGCGTTCGTGTGGGCAGTAACAACCGAAGATGGCCAAGACGAAAGAAGATTGTCGCGAATTGTCGACGAGAAAGCAACGACCGGTTACACACTCGAACTGCAGAATCTCGCCAAAGTTACACAGAGCTTTGTTCGGACAGGTGAGTAGCGGTTCAAACCGGTAAAGCCAGGGGATTTGTCATGAAGGTACAGAACCGTACTCAGCCGTCGTTTACCGAACGTTAAGCTCTTTCTGAAAGCGTGCTGCGCCCTTACCCAAAAATCCAGCCAGCTGAGTCGAACAGCATTATCTCTTCGTCTCCATAGTTTCCTCCCATCCGCTTCTCCCGTCGCGTCGCGTCCCACTTCCCGCCTGTCTGTGCCTTCTCGTCTCTCGCCCTTCAACTCCACACGTGTCGATCGTCTCCATCTAACGGTTCCGATTCAACGGCAATCGTGATCTGTCGTTTCGCGCATCCCTTGGTTCCGTCCGTCCGTCTCGTCGTCCATCGTCTGCGCGCAATTTTGTGCGACGAGTCGTCGTCGTCCGCAAATCTGCATCGGCCTTTCTTTTAACACACCTTGTAAGTTCCATATAGTACCAGCTCCCTTAATAGTAGTTGTATAATGAAGTACCTTTCGTTCGTCCTACCCTATCGTCATCCCTCGTCTATTTGTTTTTCCCGCCAATTTCGCCACCTTAACCCCTTGCTGTTACGATTAGTTCGCCAAAACATCTTCTGCTACGGTTCCGTCGATCCGATATGTAGGCCATTGTGGTTTTGGTTTCCGAATTCACTCCCCCATCATCCCTGTTTCGAAACGTCCTCTAGCCTCCTCTCCGCAGTATCACCTTCTCTCTAGATCCCCCCCCCATCCTCTTCTCTCTCCTCATCTAGTTTTGAGACGCCCCTTGTGTTACCCTCTCCCCATCATCATCTCTTTAACTCTCTTAAGCTCTTGCTCTCTCTTCCCTCCGCTCCCGTTCGCTTCCCTTCCCCTCCCTCTTTCCTGTGTTTCCATCCCTCCTTACATCCCCTGCCCAAGACATCCACCACCCCTCCCTTTCCTTCCTCTCCCTCTTTCCGTTCCTTCTTTTCCTGCCTCCCCCCTATAGCAAGGTCAGCTGAAACGTCCCGTGCGTCAGTTGGAAAGGCAACTGAAGCAACAGGATTGCGGCTTTCAAGCATTGAGTCCAGGTGCAGCAGAAGTGGGATTCGTGGCCACTACCAGCCGCAGTAGCATCTAGAAAATCCAGCTGGAGGACAGCGAAGCAGGACAGGCTCGTAGACACAGGGTAGCACTTGCAGGTAGAAAGGACAGGCGGAGAGACGTACGAGCCTAGAGGCATACAAGCGGAGCAGGACAACAGACAGCAACAGACGCGCCAGGCAGTGCATACATACAAGCGGAGAGAGGTGGGATTACATACAAGCAGGACCGTAGCAGCAGCGGGAGCAGGCATGTCGAAGGGTCTAGATACAGTGCACCGGGTGGTGGTGGGGTCGCTGGGGCTCGCCACCTTCGTTCTTGGCACGTCTGCTTTACTCAACGCCGGCAGCGCGCTGAGCTGGCACTGGAGCAAGGTGAGCTGGAATTGGAAGAATATGAGGTGGCATCTGACGTGTGTGGCAAGTGCTTCTTGCAAGTGATGACTTCTTGTTTAGTTGAAACTCTTCACTCCTGTCCATGCAGCAATTTTCCATCAATTAGGATTAATTGATTTATGGTGGCACCATTGGTTGCACAGTTTCTAAGCACATTCCTCCTGTTAATCTGCATTGAAGCCATATAGTTGGCGCGTCAACTAAGCACTTCTTGAATGGGATGTGGTTTTTGCTGTGTTGTCGATCTTCTTAATGTTGTGAGATGTCCGGCATTTTCTTCTTGTTCGTTTGTATTTTCTACTGGGTTTCCGATGCTCATGGTTGGCATTTCCAATGGTGTTTGTACCTCGTTTTTTCTTCCACTTCTTATTATTATTTTCTCGTTATTTTTTGGTGGCAGGACAAGCGTGCCAGTGAGAGCGAGCCTAATGCACCCCCCCAAGCTGACGCATCATCATCTGAATGAAGCAATGTTGATTGCAACACCGATGGGCTGGCTGTTAGAAGAATGCCAATGGCATTAGGAGACAATCAGGCAGACCATAACCTACGTGGCTGGCTTGGTAGGTCATGCCTTGCTTGTGGTATTTTTTTCAACTGACCTACGGTATCTAGCCTTTTCCAAGAGAGACAATGCTGTTTCATGTGTACGCCAAGCTTGTGCGCCCAGCTTGTGCGCCCAATATGTTTGTCATCACAAGTTCACTTGCCATCCTTTTTAACAACCAGTACTTATTGGTGATATGGCAAAGTACCTACAACGTATCTCCTAGTTGCATGCATAAAGTTATAGACCTAGTATTTACTTAGCTGTCTTACTACACTAGATCACAATATGGAACGAGCCCAACTTTGACGGGGTTACGGTCAGCGACGATGACGAACGGCTGAGGTGAGGAGAGGAGAGACCCATCGTCGACCCTCCGTCGCCGTCACCTCATTGCCGACAGCCTGTTCGCTGGCCCGCTGTGTTCGCTGGCCCGCTGTCAAAAGAGAACAAACGTGCAAACGGCGACACGGCTAGCAGGTGTGTCACCACCACACCAGCACCTACAGTAACCACCCCAGCCAGATCACAGGTGCACGGCCCTTGCTGGTCTCCGCGACAGTGCTCCCGCAGCTCCGTGATTGCTCCACTTTGCAGGCGAGAGTAGTTCGGGCAGGTGCGTTCGTGAATTCAGTACTTTAGATTTGCACTCTAGGCGTACTTACGACACCAGATCACCTAATACAGTTGGGTACTCGATTCAGTTTGGGAAGGGATTTGGTTATATTTGCAAAATTTAGACAAAATAGCTATGCTATCTAAAACATTGGAAATCGCACCCGAACACTTCTAAGCGAACAAAGAGCAGAGTACACGCCGGGTCAGGTAGCACATCCTAAGTAAGAATCATGTATGTTTAATTAAATCCTACAAAAATGTGGTTTCTCTGTTTGTGTCCCCCAAGACTGGAAATTGTGTATTACCTGCCCTGCCAGACAAATTTGTGAACACAAATTTGCAACAGCTCTAAGTGGTAAAATCTCTCCAAGTGAAGATTGGTTTTGGCGGTTCCGTGGTCGGTACGCACTGTAGCGTGGCGGAACACTGCAGGGACACACCGTCATCACAGACACGGTGCTCCTTGATCCACCGACAAACCGCCTCTCGCGGACGGAGCCCCAACGAGAAACAATGCCCCGCTGGAGGGGCGGAGCAGCCCCCAAATACACTCCCCGCCTCCCCACCCAAACCACTGCCTCCACTCTGGCCCTTGACTGTCCACCACACCACCACACAGCTGCAGGGCCAGAACGACCCCCGAATCCCCGCAGGTTTCCCGTCCTTAGGGAAAATAAGTGCAGCTGCCCTATGCTTTTCTGTACATGGTTACTCCATTTCCCCTTCCAAGTGAGCGCCAGCCAAACTTCGGGCACCAGCTTGGCGTTCCCCCGAACCAGAAACGCGCGTTGGAGTTTATGGGAACTGAGATAGCGGGATGGTTCAACGCGTAACTGTACCATCCTGCTATTGCGCGCGTTGACGTTCACGTGGCTCGAGGCAAGGTGAAAGCCCAGAAGAAAAAGGTGGAATGAAGGGAGCTGATTTTCCAACCAGCCAGTCAGCGTGGCTACACGTATTCCGTAATTTCACCTGACTCCGATCAGATTCTTTCAGTTTCTCAGCTTTCTCGGCCCTTCCTATGTTCCACCTCTCTCCGTACTCCTGCCCGCTCGAACCCCCACCTCTTCTCCCTCCGCATCAACTCCATCTGAATCCGGGCAGTTCTCTTCTCGTTGACCTTGCCAAGACACCCACCCACCCATCCACTTCACTGCAGATATCACCAGGCTCTTCTTCCTTCCCGTTTCCCACACGCTTGAGGTAACTCCCCCGCAACTCCTGTTTCCGCGTTTCCTGCAGGAGGGAGGGAAACACGGTCCCATAACCCTCAACTGAAACGGCCGTCTCACCAGCACAATTTCACAGCCACTAGTTCTCGCAGCAACTAGTTCTTTCAAGCGATAGTTATTGGCTCAGTTAGTACAGATAATTCCCTTGTAGGGTTCAGGAACCTGTCTCGGAACGACTGCTAACAAGTAGATACAGGAGTATGATGGCCTTCGTAGACTAATAAGACCACTCTCGGTCTGAATATTGACTACCTGCTCTCGTGTTCCGCCCACACCCGCGAAAAATCTGCTAGGCTCATTGATAGCTGGCCTTTCCCTACAAAGTTCCCTTCTACACACAAGCCGTTGCCACACAGTTTATAGGATCTGCGAACGCAGCGCCGTTGTTCTAGGAAGTCCGTGCTAATCGCGGCTGCCACAAACGAGTACATAGTGATTACACGAGCGGCACGATGCACAAGAATCAGCTCCAGGAGCTCGCGCAGCGCAGTGGGTACAACCTCCCGTCGTACGCGTGCATACGCGAGGGCCCCGACCACGCGCCCAAGTTTAAAGCCACCGCCACGTTTAACGGCGAGACCTTCGACAGCCCGGGCTACTTCTCGTCGCTCCGGCAGGCGGAGCACGCGGCGGCGGAGGTCGCGCTGCGCGTCATGTCGGAGCGCAGCCCGTCGCAATGCATCGCGAAAATCCTCGACGAATCCGGCGTTTGCAAGAATCTTCTGCAGGAGACCGCGCAACGAGCCGGCGTGCCGCTGCCGGGGTATAATACGGTTCGATCCGGTCCGGGGCATCTGCCAGTGTTCACGTGCACGGTGGAGGTGGCGGGGTTACAGTTTACGGGGGAGCCCTCGCGCACGAAGAAGCAGGCGGAGAAAAACGCGGCGCTGGCGGCTTGGACTGCGTTAAAACGATGTAAGCTTCGTCGTCATATCTCTGCCCGCAATACTTGTTTTTTTTTTTTCTTCCTCGCTTTTCCACATCTCTTCAGGGTGTGTTCCTCCTTACATCTATGTCGTCTTGCCTTCGTCGTCAGGAAACTCGTGATGCATAGCCTTAACTCAACCGTATCTGGTTTGCTCTGTTGCTTCTCCTTTTTTTTTGTTTATTCAGATGCGGGTCGCAACTACACAGCTGTGATCGAAGACCTCGACGTTACGGACGAACAGGAGCAGACCGCGATCGCCCGCGCGCTCTCTAACGCGTACAACGCCAGCGCGATCAAATCGAGCCCCGCGGTGCTTGCGCCAGGCATGGATCTCGCCGCGCTCGCCGGCTTCTACGTTCCGAACGGCTGCCCCGCGCCCAAGGGCATGGCTTCCGCTCCGCTCTACGCGCGGAACCGGACTTCCGCCTGCCCCCCGCAGGGGGCCACTACGCTGCAGGCCGGCGCTCCGCTCTATGTTCCGCGCCATGTCGGCGCGGGAATGGCGGGGGTTCGAATCCGGGAGGTGACGGTTCGCGAGATGAGCGCGGAGCAGCATCATATGCTTGTACCGGAGGATTCGGTAATGAGTAACTCGATGATGAATAACTACGGCGCGATGATGCTATCGCAGCAGATGGCGCAGTTTCCGCGAATGACGCAGTCCAGTCCGATGGTTGACCCCGCGCCAACCGCCGCAGCTGCCGCTGGCGCGCCCGCTTACGTCCGCCGAACCGCGCCCGCCATCGGCGCCGCCGCCGGTGCTGGGGGGATCGGCGCTGGCCGCTTCGTCGGCGCGAGCGTACCAAATTTCCCGACCCAGCAGCTTCTGTCGCAGGCTGTTCCGAACCTGCCAGGTTTGGGCCTTCCGCCGTCGGATCAGCACGCGTTGGCGGCTGGTGTAGCCGGCGCCGGCGCTCAATCTCACCGGCCGTCTAATTTAACGTACAAGCCGGGCGCGGCTTACCAGCCGCGAACTCTCCGCCCTATAGGCCAGGGGGTTTCTCCCGCTAGTATGCTTCCCGATAGTATCACAGGTTCCGTGGGGGAAGATGGTTTGGACGGGTTAGGTTTGGGGATTTCGGTGGGAGGTGAGGGGGAGAGCTGGGCACGCGCACGCACGCTGGGGTCGCCCGCGGAGATTTTGCGCAGCCCTGCGAGCAACGTGGAGGTTCCTGGTTCGTCGATGTGGACCCCGCGCTCCTCGCCCTTCTGGCCATCTTCCGCGGGCTCCGCCTCTGCGGCATCTCGCGCGCTGAGCAGGTCCGTATCTAGCACGAGCATGGGGAGAGGGGCTTCCGCCCTTGGCGGAATTGTGGGGGAGGAAGCGGGTTCGCTAGCTGGCATTGGTGGAGAAATCGCGGCGCGCCAGTGCCGCGCTGAGCTGGAGGAGGAGGACGTGTCAGCGGCGGAAGCAACCACCCGCCAGATGCTGAACCATTTGTGCTTGTAGCGAGGGTTTCCAGTCTTGCGGCGTGCTGGCTAGGGCTTCTGCCAGGATCCTCCTGTACGCTGTACTGTACGGGATCGGTTGCAGAAGGTGTTGGCCAGCAACGCCAGAAACGCTACTAAATCTTATAATTTTATTTTGCAGACTATGCTTTTCTTGGAAATGGGGTGTGTAAGCAAACCATGGGCGTATTTCTGCACCTCAGACTTGGCTCGTGTTGGACTCGCTAACAGTTTTGAGCCTAAGTTGTAGGAATACGCCCAATGGTTCCCTGTGTACTTTAGAAGGATTGGGTTTATAGATGCTCATCTGCAGGTGCTGGATATTTATGTTTTACTGTGGGTGACTTCCATTAAATGTGCAAGTTGAACTATCCAGGAAAGGTTTCCAAATTTGGCACTACTAACCAAGCTCTTGTGCTCCTACGCGTAACAGGCAACCTCTTTGTCATACTTGCCTGATTCAGTGCGTAAAGGGTTTGGGGATTAGGGCAATTACAGTGTGATGGACACTGTAAGTTGTATGATACGTGTTGCGATCAGAAGTTTGATTGTGCCTAGGATCACCTCAGAAAAGTTCGCAGAGGGTGTGTTGCAGCGGAATCTTTAAGTAGCCTAGGAAGCCATGTCGAGAGAATTGTGTGTTGGTTGAGAAGTGGAGATACAAAGATTAACCTAGAAAGTGTTGTACCCTCTAAGGGCAACTCACTGTAGCCTAGAAGCCTAACAATGCAGATAAACATTATTAGACACACCCCTATAGGCTAAGTGAGGTGCACCCAAGGACTAGCAAGGGAAACAACGGTCACAAGACCAGTCAAGAGCAAGAAACAAAACAAGGCTCAGGGTGGCGCTCTTAGCCGCCCACACCTCCTCCTAGCCGCTGGTCAAATTGCGATTGAAGGGGCGAAGGCGGCGCTCTGCTCGTCGCGCTGCCTCGTCGCCCCGTCGCTCGCAGCTACGCTGCCCCGTCGCCGCTTCGTCGCGCCTCCGTTATGGACCCATGTCCCGCCCGACACTTCCGAGCAACTGTCCCCGCCCGCTCTCCCGCCGGCCCTGCTACAACTATCGCGCTTGCTGCTACCGCGGAAGCAGCTTCCGTGAGCGCTCCTGCTGTGGGGGAAGGTTGTGGGAATGCCCTGCCCGCGTAGCCCTGCAGCCCGCGTAGCCCTGCAGCCCGTGTGCTGCCCTACCCTGCAGCCCTCGCGCCGCCCTGAGCCGCCCGCACACTGCCCTGCACTGCGAGCTATCCGCGTGCACCTGTCCTGCCTTGCCCGTGCACACAACCTACCCGCTGCACTACAAACACCGCCAGCCCTGCCCCAGGAAAGACCCGCACTAAAGCACCCAGTTACTCGCGCGCTTCCCTAGCTGCTCTTCCGCTGCTGCTACTGGCTGCCACTGACTGCCATGGCTACTTGTCAAACTATATGTTTGTTAGCTTGTAGGCTACAGTGAGCTTCACACTAGAGGGGATAACCCAATTAGGGATTCCTACTTGTATCCAACTGTTGCATAGTTCATCCATTCCGTTGTACTGATTCTGACATGGTTTCAGAGCAGGTCCTGACCTAGGACCGTTTTTTCTTTAGGGCCCACCGTCACTCCTCCCACAGGAGCTGCTGCCGACGCGCGCTGCCCTGCTCGCCGTGCGCATTACCTGCCCTGCCCTGCCCCGCGCGGTCGCGCTGCTCCGCGCTGCCCTGCTGTCACGCGTGCTGCACTGCTGATCGCGCTACCCCGCCGTGCGCTGCCCTGCTACCGCGCGTGCTGTGCTGCTGCCCGCGCTGCCCTGCTCACCGCGCGCGTGCCCTGCCTTGCCCAGCGCTATCGCGCTGACCTGCCCCGCGTGCCCCGCACGCCCTGCTGCCCCGCGCGCCAGTACGCCATGCTGCCCAGCGCGCCAGCGCGCCCTGCTGCCCAGCGCGCCAGCGCGCCCCGCTGCCCAGCGCGCCAGCGCGCCCCGCTGCCCAGCGCGCCAGGGCGCCCCGCTGCCCAGCGCGCCAGCGCGCCCCGCTGCCCAGCGGGCCAGCACGCCCTGCTGCCCAACGACCTGCGCCCTGCCCCGCGCTGCTGCCTTGCACGCGCACCTGCCCTGCCCTATTCGTGCTGCCCGCGCCTGCCCTACCCGCGCGCAAGTGCTGCCTGCTGCTGCCGCCCTAGGTGCTACTGCTGCCGCCCTAGGTGCTGCTGCCCTAGGTGGTGTCCCCCTAGGTGCTGCCGCCTGCTGCTGCCGCCCTAGGTGCTGCTGCCACCCGCGTGCACTGCCCCGCGCTGCTCTGTCCCGCGCTAGCGCCGCCTTGCCCCGAGTGCTGCTACGCTGCTACTGCCGCCTGTGCTACTGCCGCTGCTGCTAAGCTACAGCTGCTGCTCCTAGCTGCCACTGCCTGCCATGGCCACTACCACTGTCCTACGTCAGCGGCAGCCGAGTGTGCAGGAGTCTCTCTCACCGCAGCAGCTTCGCGAGTGGGCTATCTGGTGGGGCAGCCCCGGTGGTGGAGCTAGCCGTGCTAGAGCTGGAGGTGCTGGTGCTGGCGGTCCTCGTACTCGTCGGCAGGAGACGCTCTCGTCGCAACAGCTTCGCAAGAGGGCTGTCCGGTGGGGAAGCCCCGGTGGCGGAGCCTGGGGTGCTACTACTGGAGGTCCGTGTGAGTCTACTCCTGCTGGTAGTGCCGCTGGTAGACGCGGAGGTTCTGGGGGCAGACAGCAGCAGCAGCAGCGTCCGCCGGAGACTCTCTCCCCGCAGCAGCTGAGTGGGCTGTCCGGTGGGGCAGCCCTGGTGGCGGAGGGTTTCGGGGTACTCGTACTGGGGGTGTAGAGGCACCTGGTGGCGTAGAGGCTCCTAGTCTTGGTGATTTTGACTCAGCTAGCGCAGGGGCAGAGCCTGAGGAGGCCTTGCACACTTTTACCCTAGACTCAGGCGCTTCTCGCTTCTTCTTCTGCGATAGCACCAGTCACACCGCTCACAGCCCCTGTCCCTGTCACACTGTTTGGTAGTCGCGGGTGGCGCTACTGTTCTCCCGTGTCCGGCGGCCCCTTCCGCCCTCCTCACAGGTCTCCACCTCCCCTCGTTCGCTAAGAACTTGGTGGCTACATCTGTCCTCCAGGACCAGTGGGTCACTGACACCCAGCCTGGAGGAGAGCTTGTGGCGATATGTACGGACTCACGCGCTGGCGAGCACCTCGCCACGTTCACTCAGAGGCCCGGGTCTGGTCTGTACACACTGACTACCGAGTCTGCACTGGTGGCTGAGTCAGGTCAGGTAGCTGCGTCGGTTGAGGTTGCTGCGTCTTGTTCGTGTTGTCTCCTCACTCACCAGACTCTCCTCTGGCACCACCGTCTTGGCCAGCCCTCCTTGCCACGCCTGCGTGGCATGCACTCCCGTCTCCTTGTCTCTGGTCTTCCCAGGTCCTTGCCCCCACTTCTGAGGTCGCTTGCACCGCCCTGCCTTCCCTGCGTTGAGGGGCGGCAGCGTGCCGCTCCTCACTCCTCATTTCCTCCTACCACTGCTCCTCTGCATACCCTCCACATGGACGTGTGGGGCCCCACCCGCGTCACTGGACAGGGTGGCAAGCGCTACTTTCTGGTCGTTGTTGACGACTACATGCGCTACACCATGGGTGGAGGTCCGCAGTGTCTGGATCCGTTGGATCCGCGCTGTCCGTCTCGAGCTTAGCGCTCGGTTCCGGCAGGACCTTCCGGTCCTGCTGCTGCACTCTGACCGAGGTGGTGAGTTTTCCTCTCGCCTTCTCGAGGAGTTCTGTGGTGCTGAAGGCATCTGCTAGTCGATCACGCTTCCGGCCTCTCCACAGCAGAATGGGATTGCAGAGCGCCGCATCGGCTTGGTCATGGAGGTTGCTCACACCTCCATGATCCATGCGGCTGCTCCCCATTTTTTGTGGCCATTTGCGGTCTGATACGCCGCGCATCAGCTCAACCTCTGGCCCCGTGTCTCCATGCCAAAGACCTCGCCTACACTGCGTTGGACGTGGGAGGTTGGCGATGTGTCGGAGTTTCGGGTCTGAGGTTCCCTCTCTCTTGTCCGCGATATGCCTGCGGGCAAGCTCTCTCCGCGCACTCTTCGGTGCGTGTTCCTTGGCTTTCTCACCAACGCACTGCCCTGGCAGTTTTACCACCCAGGCTCTCATCGTGTGCTCTCCTCCCGCGACGTCACTTTTGACGACTCAAACTACTTCTACCGTCTTCACCCCCACCGTAGTTCCCCGATACCCCTCCCGCCTCTCTCCCTGGTTGTCGACCCACCCTCGGTAGCCCCCCTCCCTCCTCCCGGTCCTGCTCCCTCAGGTGTGTCTCAGGTAGACCCACCCCCCTTGGTTGAGCCTTTGGAGGTCTCCACTGACACCTCTGGCCCAGCTGAGGGGGGTGACCTGACTGCTGCCGACACCGTGGCCCCTCGCCGCTCCGCGTGCTTGGCGGTCCCTCCTAGGTTTCCGCCTCGACCGTCTTCACCGCCATTGCAGCCCGTCGCTGTGGACTCTGGTGCTGCTAGAAGTGGTGACAATGGGGGTGCGGCCTTTGGGAATGCTGGCTCTGGGGGTGCTGAGTGTGCTACGGGTACAGGAGGTGCTGCTACTAGAGGTACTGCGGTTGGAGGTGCTGGTGGTGCTGGTGCTGGTGGTACTGGTGAACGTTAGTAGGAGACTCTCTCGTCGGAGCGGCTTCGCGAGTGGGCTATCCGGTGGGGCAGCCCCGGTGGCAGCGCTGGACGTGCTGGAGCTGGGAGTCCTGGAGGTACTGGACATGGAGGTGCTAGTGCTGGTTTTCCTGGAGTTGGCCGTGCTGGAGGCACTGGTGCTGCTGGAGGTACTAGAGGTACTGGTGCTGTGGGTGCTGTTGAGGGTGGTACTGGTTATCGTCGGCAGGAGCCTCTCTTGCCGGAGTGGCTTCGAGAGTGGGCTGTCCAGTGGGGCAGCCCCGGTGGCGGAGCTGGACGTACTGAAGCTGGAGGTACTGGAGGTATTGGCCCTGGAGGTGCTAGTGCT